ATCTGGATGACATAGTATTCATCATCAGAAAGAGTAAGCTAAGAAATACCTAGACTTTAATCAACGTCTTCGATGACATAAATTTACAATGGAATAGTAGTCGAACAATAAATTGTCATTTTTAGATGTGCTGAACCCCAGAAACAATATAGAAAAACTGAGAACTTAAATATATCGTGAATTAACAATCCAAGAACTTACACAGACAATTGTGCTCCAATTAGAGCACACTTACAGTACAGAAAAATGCATGAAAATACTTGATAATTATTTTACAAAAGAGTAGCTATTCATGCAACTTCATTGAAAAACATCAGTCGAACTCATTAGAGAAAAACAAAATCGAATGTGGAAATCAATAAACAGATCATTCTCTCTCGTTAACAAAGGGAATATACCAGAAATTTCAACATTATCGAGATCATTTGGTATAAGCATAACAAATAAATTAGTAAAATCATTTTAATTTTTTCTAAACCAAAGTGAAATGACAAAAGAAGATTCAAGTATTGTCTACGAAAGGAACTCCTCCAACCGCGAGAAACATTACGTTGTACAAAGTCAGTTCCCTTTCCATAGTCTCTTCTTTATGAACAGAAACTAGATTTCAAACGACACAATGTATCTTCGCTTATATCAAAACACGTGTTCAACCAGAAAAAAATGTTGAGATTTTGGACAGAGGGAATACAGAGGAGGCCAGGTAATTCTTAGTGGTTTGGCACTTAGATTTAAAGATGTCACAAGTATTAGGAGTTTGACAACACTCTAACAAGTAACACCTTTTATAATTGAAATGTACCAACCCAGTCAAATCAAAGGTAGAAAGTGAAGATGTTCGAAGATATATTTGATAGAATATCGATATATCGAGAAGTGATCAATCTAAGCTGGCTAGCGGTCATAGGAGATGTGAATCACGGCGTATCCACTCGTGATCTAGTACGGATTCGTGACCGAGTGCCCTCAACTAGGTGAGTCCATTAAAACTAATGCGGTCAACACTAAATATCAAAGACTTACAGAGCTGATGGTTTTTGGGATTTATTTAACCGCTACAGATTTATCACCAATCAATAAACACATTAAAATCGACTCAATTTATCAATGAATGAGAGGATTCATGGACGAATTCAAACATTAATACCTGGAATTTATGCTGATATTATTCAGAAAAACAATGAAAGCTTCACGATCAAATCATTCAGATCATAGAAGACAGTTCACGTACATATATTATTGATATAAACACTTTGGAATCTACCTAAGCCATTTTTTACAGTTGTCAGTCAGCTACAACGTAGGACCAGGAATACATGCGCGTCGGTCCAAGTTGCCAAACATCATTAGCAAAAGATAAACACCAGATTCATAGAAGTAGTGGTGGTAATATATAAAAGAAAGATTGCATATAAGGACACAGTACAGGAAGAAAGATTTAGTACGTAGAAAGATATGAAGCGATTTTAATCTCTTAGTTTAAGGGAAGACAGAGAGTGTCTACACCTACGCCATTGTGGTCGATTCTGAGCCATGTCACCAAGAGTCTCCAGCCATTTGTTACGACAGTCACGCAGACCCCAACTAAGTAGTCTGCATCTGCCAACATGGCTCAGACCAGAGGTTAGTGACTTCAAGCACTGATGCCACGTTTTGGTTTGTCCGCCTCTTTCCCCAACACTAGTCAGTTAGCATTGCGCGTCTTGGCAGTCGGTGTTCAGGCATACGTAACACGTGGCCCAACCATCTCAGTTGGTGAAGATTCACAACCTCATCAACTGATTTACTATCATTCCCTAATACCTTACGTCTAGCCTCACTATTATTTGCCCGGTGACCCCAGCAGATGCTGGAAATATTTCTAAGGTATCTGTGGTCAAATACTAGTAGCTTACGAATATAGAAATAATCAAATTCCATGATTATTATTTGATTATTTTATTTCAATGAGAAAGTCTCTGAAGCATTGAGGCATGAGGCATTTTATCCTATTACCTGCTTACAAGTTTGATGTTCACACTGAGATATGAAACCAATACGTTTTTGCTTCAAATAACAACATTCAATTCACTGAATTAATGAGTCTGGACAGCTACTAACTTGTCCAACAGTACTGGGTTACCATACAGATACACATCAACACATGGATCGAAATATATTTAGCCAAGAAGTCTAGAGAAGAATGAAACGCGCACCATGGATCCCCCTGCTGGGAATAATCCACCTTTAATAATCCCAGTATTTCTATAAAAACGCCCCCAAGTGCCCTCGTACGACCAAGACTGGTGAGAGTCAATTCTCACTCTCCAAATGCTCTCAAATGGCCAAGCGTATATAGCCTCTGCCAGGGAACTCATACTCACTGCATTCTCGCACATCGGGTGTTGTTAACCGAATTGAGAGGACGAAAAGCGAATGTCCGGTGCTTTAACCGGGTTAGTGGAGACGGAGAGTCCACCTAAGTTGAAAAAAACCCGATTCCAAACCAATGGTACACATGGGCTCCAGGATCCTGAAGGAATACATGGCGTTTGAACCAGTCGTTGGTCACCGACTAACATGGGATTGCATCTCCTTGCGTTGTTCCACTATCTTGTAGATCAGACCTTTATGTCGAAGGCTCCGGGTGTGGCCCCCTAAGAAAACCATCTGCTTCGGTTTGGACACCCCGGCAGTATCACAGCACTCACACAAATCAAATGAGATTTATGTGGCGCGTATGTGTCTGGTGCTCCCTTGTACCAATATCTATGTGTTCAAATAAATAAAAATAAAAACAACTAGTCTAGATAATTCACTGTAAAACTCACAATTTTCTTAAGAGACCATATGTTTATGTGAACTGAAATGTGAGATGAACGATTACATCATGTTATTTCGATCCCCTAAATAAATATTCACCAGAAAAACTACTCATAATCCTTTTCAATGTAAAGTGAGATTTAGTTTACAGTAATTTTCTATAAATTTATTAATCAAGTATAGATTATAGTCAATCAGTTATCCGAATGGAATCGATCAAGAATGTGTAACGATCCCAGATGTTTTATCCCTTAAATGTACGAAGACAAAATAATCAAAATAAAAAGTCCATGAGATGAAATAATATCGACCGCAATAGAAATATGAACAGTTCGTAAGCGACAAATGATAGCAAAATAAAGTCATGAACAACACATAACTGAATATTTAGGACAGAATTAGGCTACAGTTTAAGGACGAACCAATGAAATTAAAAACAAGTTTTAGGTTTTTGCGCGAAGTTCATTCATTGATATGGCTAAATAACATCTCGACATTATAGCTGATGTTAGTTCGCGATGAAAACCCTAACTCATAACTTCCCAATCTAATTCCTCACATTAATGTAGAACACTTTTTAACCTAGTAAGGTATTTTACCAACGTCACTTTGTCGTCCATCAAAAATAGTTCACATATTCTAGTCTCACCGAAGACTCAATTATACGATTCCGAACGATTACATACGACATCACTCATATCAAAGCAAGTTCATATAGCGGATCCTTAGATAAATGCTCTGGCATGAAACGACTCGGTTGACAAAACCGAAACAGCAAAATATTGGTCGATAGCTCTGTATCCAATTATCCCATTTAGCTCAAACTATAAAAGTGATAACTAAACTACTCAGTATTTTGACAGATGTTTTCCCTTATCCATAAAAACTCACTTTTTCATCTAATCACCTTTGCAGTCTTATGGCAGACATAACTAACTTGAATAGGTTGTCATCCCCCAGGTCGTTATCTGTTACTGTATAATACACCATTCTAGAGTAAGACAGTGGTCTATTAGTTTAAAAATCAACCTCAACCTAGCTAATAGTTGTATCATTGGTATTCACCAGCAGAGAAATATTTGGAGCGAAATGAACTGATTCCTAATTGCACTAGGTTATGTCCACAGATAAGTGTCTAATAATCACAACTATGTGCTTTAAAGTGCATTCCCAAATAACCACTAATATCTACTATGCTTAATGAATATGTTGTATATTTGTAGCTTTGCTAAACTAAATTAATTCTCTTCTGTATCGATTTTCAGGAGCTAGGTATGATTTCCTGATCAAAAGTATTGAATGTTGTCAGATATAACATTTCAGTTAAGCGTATTGAATATTGTACTGTTCAAGTAACCATGACGTAAATTGTGATGATTGCTACCAGCAAATTGGCCAGGAACACCAATGCTGCTTCAGTATAACTAGCAATACAACATGTGCAGAAATTGTGGGTAATCATACGCATGTATCTGACAGTATTATGGTCCATACTCGGAAGTATGTAGAAGTCCTTGATCACAAGTTTGTCATTAATATTAGCTTTTGTGGTCGAGATTCTTTAAAGAAACTTAAAACTTGACTTTATTACTCAATGCATAAAATTACTTTCCTGAAGTAATTGTTGGTGCAATGTAATATATTATACCTACAGTTGATACCTTATCTCACATAGACCCGAGCGTTGTTGCTACCTTAACGTGGTGGTCAGGCTTGCTATCGCGATGAACCAGTAAAGCTATACTGGCTGGAACAATCGTTCCTCAAGGGCCTACTACTCCAGACAGGTCGGTTGCAGAGCGGTAAAACTGAAAGCAGCAAACCTAAGGTCTGAGAGCGAAGTCGTACTGCTGACTGTACAGAGGTGTGGCGGCAGTAACGTGTCCCCTTCAGACAACCAGCATAACAACGATGCTACCTTCCCACGAGGGGTGGGGTTAGAAAAGGTCTACCCTAGAAATACACATCTTGTTTTATCCCACGGGTATCCGTCTCCGGCGGTAAGGTCCCAATAAGTGTGGAGCTAACACGAAAATTACCCACAAATAGGTCGTGTGTGACTGACTTTAATCAGTTGTCCTTCGGACACTGAGGTTCTACGTTGTAGCTGACTGACTATCTCATATAGATAAGTGAGTACTATAAATAGGATACAAACCAATGCAAGTTTCTAATAAAATGTTTATTTTTGTATAGTCGTAAAGTACATGTAAAATAATATCTCATGTTCAATAGTGATTTCCTTGACGATATCTGTAGTCTGAATAACCATCTCCTGAAAAATACTTGTGATTAAAAGTAGAGAACTTACCTGAAGGCCTGATTGGTCCTCTTACACTCGTGCCGTTGTGAAAACTATCATATGGCTGATTAAAATCTGGTCTACTTGGACCTGAATTGTACCCTACATCTTCCGCATAATTTATATCATCATATTCATATTGCTGAGGAGGAAAGTTGGCGTATTGTGACCCTTGATGGCCTCTACTACTGTGGACAGGAGATCGACGACTAGGAACTGGTGCATTGTTATTCTACAAATAAATAATGCAATTCCAACAGTGACTTACTATGCGAGACGAAGGAGAGATTCCCTTAGGGGTGGATGCTAAGAAAAGTTCGATGTAACGAGGCCCAATTTTTTCACGATCCTTCTTCATTGCCTCCTTCGCTTCATCATGACTGGCAAAATCCACAACTGCCTCTCCGGTGGGCCGATTAGCCTAAAATATAAAAAAGAGATTTGTTATTAAGACACAAGGAAAGAAAGTAACTAGGAATTATGACGGCAACTTACCGCATTGAATTTTATCCGAATGTTGACTGGTTGTAAAGGAGAAAGGAAACGATTAATATCCTCTTTGGTCGCTGAGTATGGCAACCCTCTCATACGAACAGAATGCCCAGTCAAACTTTGTGGATCATCATATTCGTAATGTCCGGGTGGCCCGAAATTAGATCCTTTTGAGGGAGAAGGTCCTTCGAAGCCTCTGGGAGGAGAACTGTATCCCGGGTGTCCGAAAACATGTGGTGGTCGACCATAGGGCGTAAATCTTCCTGGAACTGGACCTCTGTTTGGACCTGACCCGTTTGGACTAAACGGGGGCGCATCATATCCTCCTCGGGAACCTCCATGATGACCCGTACCACCGGGATGACCATCACGACTTCCTCGACCGAACATCGGTCCTCGACTGGAAGCACGGCTTTCTAAATACGTCATCTAAATTACTGTTTGGAAACTTACGATTTATTTCCATTTGGCGCTGTATGGTCGTGTTAGCCTCCATCATTGTACTTTCAAATATTTCAATGTATCTGAAAAAAGAACAACTGTGATGAAGTGAACCACCTGGAACAATAAATTCTATGACAATTAACTGACAAGTTGTTGACTTAAGCAAATAAATATTAAGCATCCCATACGACGGACCATTACGTAAAACATTAATAATAATACCCAAACCTCCCATCCAAACCCGAAAATATGCACCTGTGCCCTATCTTCTCCATATGTTTCTCCTTTGCCCGAGCTAGACTTTCAGAAGATGTGAATTGGACATACGCTTCCCCCGTGCAACGACCCATATGATCCACCAATAACCCGATACCGTTGGGAGCTATTTCCAGGCCTGCCGATCCCAAGAATTCATAAAACCCGAGAAATTAGGAAAGGAATGAAACAAATAAAACGATCAGACGTGTTATACTAAACAAGTTAGTAACAGCCTAAGATAAGCTCCTTATTTGACCAAAAGTAGCTGCAATCAGTAAAAGCGAAAAAAACTATTAGAATGGGTTTAAACTTTCACAAATATATTTGGCTAACTGACAAGACGTATATATATCATGTTTTAGGGTTGCTATACAGCCAGTAATAAGTGGTGGGTCAAGAAGTGGTTCCGTATTAATGCCTATTGTGCTGTTGGTCAACAAATGTAGTTAAAATAACACATTGACAAAAACGATGATTAATTACGGACTATCTTCGGTTAGAAAACCATCTTAGATAATGCAGACACTACTATCTTTACTTTTTGTCTACCAATTTCCTTCTATTATGTTGTTGCAGTAATTCAGACTGATATATATTTGTGCGACGCTCTGTTTTGCTAATGACTGATTGGTAATTACACTGAAAAAATCCAATTAATATCTTGTTGACTACATGTTTACCCTACCTTTTCCAGCAAGTCTTGAGAGTTGGATCCGTTGTTGATGTTTACTTTTTGGAAGTCTTCTCGTAGCACTAAGCAACAATGCCAGAATGTTTGGAATGCGCTCCTCTCCCTCTAAATGCAAGTTGTTACTTCAGGACTGGTCTGCGTCAACACCTGAACTAAGGGTAGGGAGTGAAGTAGTCGAGTGCGTCGACAACTTCACTTGTCTTGGGAGTCTGATCAGACCAAATGGGTTGGTGTCTGACGAAATCTCAACACGAATTCGAAAAGCTCATTTGGCTTTTGCCAACTTACGTCACCTATGGCGAAGGTGAGATGTCCGTCTATCAATAAAAGAACGAGTACACTGCGCGGCAGTTCGTTCTGTTTTACTTTACGGCCGCGGAACGTGGCTGTTAAGAGTTGAAGATATTCGTAAGCTACTAGTATTTGACCACAGATACCTTAGAAATATTGCTCACATCTGATGGGATCACTGGGCAAATAATAGTGAGGTTAGACGTAGGGCATTAGAGAATGATGGTAAATCAGTTGATGAGGTTATGAATCTTCACCCACTGAGATGGTTGGGCCACGTGTTACGTACGCCTGAACACCGACTGCCATGACGCGCAATGCTAACTGACTAGTGTTGGGGATGATTGGAAGAAAGTTAGAGGCGGGCAAACCAAAACGTGGCATCAGTGCTTGAAGTCACTAACCTCTGGTCTGAGCCATGTTGGCAGATGCAGACTACTTAGTTGGGGTCCATGTGACTGTCGTAACAAATGGCTGGAGACTCTAGCTGTTTCCATGAAAATCTTTGAAGACTATGTCATAAAGTAGTGAATTCATCTGGATGTATAAATAAACAACCTGTTCCTAACTGCTTTCCCCAAGTTTCAGTTTATTATCATTATATTTATGTGAACACATAAATATTTGTACAGAGGCACCAAATATATATGCGCCACACAGGTCAGTTGATTTGAGTGTGGGCTATGATACTACCCGGGTGCCCAAACCGAAACAGAGGGTTTTCTTAGGAGGCTACACCCGGAGTCTTCGACCTAAAGGTCTAATCCACAAGGCAGTGGAGCAACGCAAGGAGATGCAGTCCCATGGTACCTGGTGACCAACGATTGGTTCATACGCAATCTATTGCAACAGGATCCTGGAGCCCATGTGCACCATTGGTTTAGAATCAGGGTTTTTTCAACTTACCTAGGTGGACTCTCAGTGTCCACCAACCTGGTTAAAACCTCAGGACATTGCAAAATGAACGCCAATGTGAACTTTATCAGTACTTCCTAATTAATATTGGATTGCTTGATGACACTAAGATTTGAAGACTAAATACCATTGTGAGCTGTAATGCAGCAAGTGTAGTTCAAACCTAGATGAGCAGACAAGCATAAGCTTAAAGTACTAACAGCCGAGAGGTTCATCATAGACAAACTAGAGTTGGGTTTTCTTATTAACTAAACTTAGGTGCGGTTAAATATACAGAATGTTTGTCATTAAGCTAAGAGTAACTGGTGACTGACATGTCGTTCAAACTCGTACGATCAGTCGAAATACCAGAAATGAAAAATGCTATTTTATAAGAACAATCACACTGTGAGCACAACAGGCCTAAATACGAACTTTCTCATTGATTAATAAGCAGTAACACTTTCCAGAATTTATTTGTTTATTTGAACACAAATATTGATATAAAGAGGCACCAAATACATATGCACCGTACAAATTTCATCTGGTTTGTGTGTGCTGTAATACTACCCGGAGCAGACTCCCCTCACTCGGCCGTGCCATGGTATTTGAGGGCAGTTTCTAGAAGGCTTGTTTTGCATAAAGACAAAGGATCCTATTGTTCAAAGATTACCGAAACTCGGAGAAACACTAGCTATATACAAAAGGCAGAATAACACTGAATTTGTTGCCTGATAAATATAGTGATTAAATCTGTTTAAGAATACACTTTACAGACCGCAGAAACGGCTACTATGCATTAGTCAAAACTACGAAGAAATGAGTCAGGGAAAAAACATCAGCTACCTTCAGGCAAACAGAGAGAAGTATTTCGGTAGACGGAACAGAAAACGTTAGGTTTCAAACGGCGTATTGTGCATATATGCTAGGGATCAAACTTTGATGCTCAAACATAAAGTGAATCTAACTACCAAACCCTCTATCTATCAACGTATAGAAGCGGCCAGTAAAATACAACCACTCTACTGATAAGTGAGTTAACAAAATTTCCGGAGTCCAAGAAACAACTACATATAGTGTAGAAAACAGAAAAATATGATCGACACCAACTTACTGTCTTTGATAACACGAAAACTTACATAACGCTACCTACAATGACACGATAATACTGATACATCATTACTGCTAGTGCGCAATAATTTGATACCCTAAGCACAACTTAGCGATGCAACGAATATTGGACAGTTACAGAATGACCATGTAAAATACTTCAGTTGAAAAGTAGGATTCCACACGTTCTTAGTAGCTCCGAACTTAATGAAAAATTATCAAGGTATCATACTTATATAAAGTCATTAGTAAGTGTGGAGGACAAAAACAACCAGCTTTTGGCCTAAAGATAAATGCGTATAAGTAAAGCAGTAGCACCACAATGTGTGAGATACATTATGTAAGTTTTAGAAACTAACGAGACGTGGCCAAATCAAGGTAACCTTTGTGAATGTCCGTTCTACGGATCTGAAGCTACTGCAGACTAGATAAAAACAGCGATCTTACAATCTATTGTTAGTTACTACATTTAACTACAAACCGATAGTCAAACAAACCGTGAAAACGCACTTACATATGCATTTAGATTATGTGGTCAGATGTTTTGACAATGCTTTGTGTCAATAGCGAGGCGCTTAAGCGCTGCGATTTTAGCTGATGCCAGTTCGTGATTAGAACCGTAAATCTAATTCCAAACACTGACTATCATTTGTAAACCATAACCCTTATTTTTCACATTGCTTTTGTAACCCTTGTGTAGCCCTAGTAATTAGGTGGACATTCCCAAGTCTACTTAGCGCCCATAAATTGGTCTCACCGACTAAGCATATCAAGTACAATTAAAAATATCCAGAACAGAAAATACTCTAAAACTAGTACTGACTACTAGTTCGCAAATAGCTATTTCTGTTGCCTGTTTATACGAAGTTCTACGTTAGCTACGAAGAATAATAGAAAACGCTTACCTTCCCGTATATAATATAAACTAGTAAGAAGCAGACGACCAAGGATTACTTACCGTTAAAAAAGGCATATATCTCCTTTTTCTCAGTATCGTACGGAAGACCACGTAACCTAACAACATGTTCCCTCCGATTTGGCGAGTTGAAAGGTCTGCATCCCATAGCGTTATTCAATTCCTCAGAGCATGAGTCAAATACTTTCCGGATTATTGGGTAGTCGTAAGTTACCTTCAATATAACGGCGACCCAAATGTTCATTATGATGAGTCATGGCTTTCTGTTTATCATCTCTACTTTCCAGTTCAATGAAAGCTTCTCCATTAGAACGGCCATTAGACCCTTGAGGAAAATATATGCCACGCTTTCCACCTCTTATCCTGCAATCTGCAAGAAATCAAAACACAGGCAACGGAAATACCGTTGAAAAAACTGATTATATCATCCGCATTCGCTGAGAACGGAAGACCCCTGATACGGACAACAAACGACATCACAAGCCCGCAAGCTAATCTTACAATATGGCGCGGTACAACTAACAGACCTTGACACCTTTAAACAACTTTCGCTCTTCAGTAGGAAGAACAGAATGGCAATCAATCTATGTTAATCCTTCCGATTTGGATTACTGTGTATATAAAATTTTGCTTCGAATTTATCAACGGTTTGTACTGATATCATGTCTTCTAGTAGCGAATCGCAGTAATCCACTCCTTGATATGAGAGACGGGATCCCAGACGTAAACAACTTGACCCCGCTTTTTGAATTTTCTTGGTACATTCTCTCAGCTTATCAGTGATATGAGGGGATAGGACGTATTATTGCAAAGATCATTGTTCAGCATACGATATGCCAGTCTTTAAATTTTCAGTCATTTGCAATCAGCTAAACAGATGATTTTGCTACAGTTGATAAGTCATTCACATAAAGTAAAAAACAGACTGAGGGCTGCATCTTGATAAGTATCACGCTGTATGGAATCTCACACTGATAGAGTCCCACATATCGGTACTTGTTTTCCCCAATTATTGAGAGTCACTCATCAAATTTATGATTTCACAAAAGATTTTTTTCCCTCACTGCAGCTCAATCTCCACTTAAAGTAAAAAGATTTATCAAGTAGGACAGGCCTTTCCTAAGGGCACGATGTTCCCTGAGTTGAAGATTATTCCCATTGTAGGATCCAAACTACGGTTTGGATGTTGAAGAATAGCATTCCGGGGATTTTAGACACGCGCCCTTTCCCGTCGAAATCAGAACAAGTAATCGGGTAACTAGCGGTTCTAAACAAATATTATCACCCGGCTATTCAACCAATGATTGTTCAATCAATTAAATCAATCACAACAAATGAACGTTATTCTATCCTGACTGGATAGATCACACACAACAGGAGGAACAAATCAATATGGCTACCGCCAAGAACAAGTGTCAAGTAAAACAACGCAGATGCAGTTCAGGAAGAAACACAAACTTAGTGAATGTGTAATAAAAACAAAAACTATAACAAAAATACAAATATTAACAATTCAAATGTAATCAAAATACAACAATATACAACTAAGGGGATCAATAGGAACAAAGTACAAGTATATACATGGAGGGATTTTCACCAACACACAAAACCTTCAAAATGGATCTTACACCCATATATATATACATATATATATATATATATATACATGAAAATGGCCATTCGAATATTCTTTTTCATCAGTTCGTTGACTAAACTGGTCATACTAACAGGACGACAGTTACTAACTAAGTCTGTACTACCCAACAGATTGCTGCCTTTTTTCAAACTTTTCGCTGTTCAGACTACCTCAAGGACCTATCAAACAGTACTCTCAAAGGTTCAGCGATTACGTCTATCAGGGCTGTCATAATCTTAAGATGAATATCGTTAGGACCACTAGACTTATCTGGTTGGGACGTTAAGGTAATCGCAAGACAGCTCCTTTCTCAACGACCACAAGACCAATCGACAAGTGGACACCATCACCATTAACTGCTGGTCCTTCACCCTCTCGGCAGAAAACCTTTTATTAAAGTCTTCCCATGCAGCTTCAACCTTCAATACCTCATTTCATGTCATTGTCAACGGATTTTCAAGTATCAAAAGCGGTGTGATCATATCAGTTCACTGAGTTCGCCTCCTTGCATACGAGAACAGTCTTTTTGGACTATTTTCACAATTCCTGACCAATTATTTTTTATACAAAAGTTCGGCCTTACATACCAACCCTTCGATAGGGTTTCTGTTCCCGCAGTAAATAGGTTTGTACTGTTCAGAGGCTGTGGAGATAAACATACTTCAAAGCATTTTCCTCGAACTAGGAAAATTTTCAACCCGTATATTTATCCATGATGAATATTTATTCCGTCTGCTTGATGTTAGGCATGATGTAAACGAAAATATGCCTAAGCTAAGGGTACTCTTGGTTATGGACCGTGCTACTCCACTTGATGAGATAGCATTTACTGACCAGTCTGTCTTTGCCAAGCACTTCTTGATAGTGGATATTTTCTCCTTAACCTGACCGCATATTGTGTTACAAGCTCTGAACATGAATGAAGAAACGTGTCGCCATTTGCTAACTATGGGAAAACATCTAGATATGTAAGATTCACGGTCGCATGCGTGGTTGCTAAGTCAAATAAAGATCCTTGGTCTGAATTTAATAGTGGAGGGTCAGATGCATGCTGAAATAAAGTATCTTCTATTAACGTCCTCAAGAGCCCACTATCCAAGGAGTTTTCAAATCCCGCAGTGACCACCCTTTGTTCAACTAGTATCAGGTGCAATAACAGGTGCCCTTTTTACTCTACGGTGAATGTGCTCTACAATAAGGTCACTAGCTAGGGAGATCGGACTACGATAAATGACACCTAGTACAAATGTGCAATCATCGAAAATCAGCATACAGCAAGTGACTTCACGGGTTCCACTGCATGAGATTCACAAACAAAGGAACGGATCTCTTTATTATTAAATACGTATATAAAGACTCAAACCTCTTTCCTGCATCCACACTTATCACTACTTAGATATTCGTATCCCCACAATTTTGAAATGGCCTCATAGACTAACCAAGTTTTGTCTACAGTCTTGAGGAGTGGTTTTAGTTCGTTCAGTAACACTCCTAGCGGAATTCTAGACGCCTAACCTACGAGCATTTATATAATAAGCCCTTAAAGAGAGCAATCTATCTACACAGGTTTTGGTAACATTCACTTCCAAGACCTGGCTACTCAAAAAATAGAGAAAAGAAATTTTCTTCACCGTTCTCTTGACATGCTTCTAGTCTAGCAAGTGCCACCTTAAATTTTATTCCACCTTCTAGGGACATGTCAAGTTTTACTCGAATGTTGGTGCTGTGTTGACTTTCAGCACTACTAAAAGAAAGATTTCGTCGTTACTGCTACCCTGAAATTACAGTAAGGAGTCTACATGATCATGGTTCGACATTTTTGTTGGTCCTATCACCTATTCCTACCAAGTTTCTGATCTGAACTCTTGTAGAGTCATTTGATAAGATGCTACTAATAAATTCTCCGACCATTTCCCAATCTAAAGCGTGTCTGATTTTTGGACCGGAGTCATTTGGAACTAACACATTACGATAACAATCTATATGATCAAACATTTTTCAGCCCGCCAGGGTCACGTTTGATCATACTTTTGGGCTTTGGACATGAACCCTGTGACTGAGAATGAAAGTCTGCCAAGGACGAGGGTTGTTCGTAGCTTGTGTTCTCTCTCTTCTTGCTCTCTGCATTTTTGTCTAGTTTTCGTTACCCAGGACAGCCATGTAAAATCGCATTGAAATACTTCTCTTAGTTGGCGTCCTGAGGAAGATGATAAATGATCTTTATCATGATGTCATTAACCAGAAGATAAACAGTAGAGAAAATTCGGAGATGATTAATACAGACGTGCTACGTAAACAGATTTTGCTATTATTATTTCCCATGAGTTTTAGTGATGGGATCATTTATATTGATGACAAAGATATTGTTTGAATTTGTCCCTGAACTTTTCTGGTACACGCACTCTTCATATCGATGTGCAATGATTATTATCAATAAACTGACCAATCACTCATGTCACTATGTGTTTCCATTCAGTCAGCTACCTCATCGACAATTCATCAGTACAAAAGCTGTATAAGTTACCAGACCATGACTGGATTTATAAGCTTGAAATTTCTATCTTCTGAATCCAGTTACTAACTGAATATACTATACCAAACAGTTAGTCAGCAACGACAGAATTATACGAGCGTACATATTTTTGTATGCCATTAAGTGATGGTATAAACTAAACCAAATACGAGGATGAATGTTGACTACGTATATTTGGCAGACGCGTAGAATTATAGTCTAGTTGGTTATTAGTGTTACTATAACAATAGACCTAATCGCCGAATTGAAGATTTGCCATGATGTGACTGCATAATCTGGAAGATCTTGCACGGTAGTCCCATCATTGTCTATTCTAACTCGTCGTATCATAAGAATCAGCTATATAACTTCCAATATTTCTGAAGGACACATTTCGGCTGTGTAGAAAACAATATATTTCATACAACATTCAATAGGTTTTACATATTATGACTACGTCTGCACTGCCAAGTCGGACCGACATTAATCCCTGATACTTCGTCCACCATTGTTGACCTTCTCTTAGTGTAATATGTTGAAAGTGAATCTTCTCAGTGACTGTTTAGGTTCGAAGATTGTGTGGTTGGTAATAAATACCACCACACACTCACTGACCAAAACAGACAATCAGAGATACGAAGTGTAGGAATATAAGCAAAATAAAACGAAGTGATCAACTCGATTCGACTAAGCAAAACTCAATAAGTTTAGTTAGGCCAAAAATAAGCTTCAAACATTTGATAAACAGGAAAAGTAATTAACACACAACCATACAGAAACAGTCAAGGTTTATAAGGGACTTACCAACAAGGTCAAAGTGCGGCCGGAGAGGGATGAATAAATCGGTTGGTCCAGAAGCTAGAATAACTTATGTTGGCTTGACATAGTGCCGGCCGCTACAAAGCCTTTCTGTAGAGAATAGTCGGTTGGTTCGAAAAACAACAAAAGATAATTACAAAACTAATCCGTGTTATCTATTCAAACATATTCAGTAATTTTCCTTCTAGATTGGAATTTGCATTTTCGGTCCATGAAAATGGATGTTGTAATCAAGAGAGACAATATATTTTGTGACAAAGGGATAGACGAACGTGACAATTGTAGACTTACTGTCTAAAAGAGAAATTGTTCCGCTGTGTTGTTAAAGTAACAATTGTTTGATGAATAATTGACCACGCAATCCAGTTTCTCATATAATACGTTCGAACGTGTTCATAGTGCTCTACGTCTCAAATGCAGATAAAGGTGAGACAATCATAGTACGCATTGGTTAGCTGTGGGAGTTAGTATGTTTTATATTGTATAACATACTAACACTTTGAAACATCATCTTACCCAGGCTGAGCCTGGAAACGGCCATAAAGCCTGACAATTTGCCTTCGAGTAGTAAACTGCATCTGCTTGCTGCACACACTACATTTTAGCTAAATATTAAACATCACACCTCTTACAGATCAAATAAGGTTCAGTAATTATTATTACAATCACTATTATATGTGAAGTCTGATTAAAATAGTTCCATATAAAATTTGTCAGAGGATTTGTACTGGTATTGTTCCTAATCACACAATATTCAAAGCTGAACATGAGACAACTGGGAAAATAGACTTTTGACATGTAACACCAAGAGAAGGTCAAAAATTGTGGACGGGGGAACATCCATAAAACCGTATGACATGGCTCATCCTTGCAGGGTTGGGCATTACTGTGCAACTTGTTTCTTCTATTCATTTTAAATATATTGTTCTGTCTCAAGCTCAAATGTGTTCTTTCGAAACACCAAAAACTATATTGCTGATTCTTGCGATACAACGAATCGCGATGACATTGACGTGACTCCCACGTAAGATCATATAGATCGGGTTTTCACATTATGACAAATCTACAGTTTTAAGACTAGATCTATTACTATAGCAGTCCCGATAGCGACGTTGATCCAGGTTCTACAGATTATTATATGCAGAGCTTTCAAAGATCGTAAGGTTAGGAACCAGTGCCATTACAGATCTTCGTAATGTTCTCATGGGTGATGAAGTGACAACTTCAGAATTTCATCGGAATTATAATATTTATTGGAAGTGATTTCGGTAGGTATACTGAATTTACTGTTCAAAACTCCATAGAAAGCGATATCCTTCAGATGCAATTCTAAACTAGTCCTCAGACTATCGACTACACTCATGTCAACAAATAGGTAGGATGAACACATCCGCTGCCAATCGGTTAGTAATACGGCGTCTTAAAGTTAATGAATATGATTGTTGGACTCATCGATTAAGCGAAAATGGCTGTAGATGTATGAATGGATTCCGATTTAGATTGTCGTTGAAAAAAGGAAATCAACAATTGCTAAATGCGAACGCTTTGTATGAAAAATGGTTGCATACATAAGATAAAAGTCGTTACTACCATGAGCATGACTCGGAACTTATGTTAATAATAGCATTGTTTACCGGCTCCATAATCCGGATAGTTGTGACGACGATATTACCAGCATGCAGAATCTCATTCAACCGATTAGACTGATGGTTCGTCTGCATGTATGTGTCACTAGATCGCCAGTTTTCACAAAATATCGCAGATCGTCCGATGAACCAGCAGCTAGCAAACATGTTGAAAATATCTGATGATGGCAATATGGCAGCGAAAATGAACAATAAAGGATGGGTTAGTTTAATATAGTCATTTGTGTGATGGACGATCCAGAACCTACTTCAGATGATTGGCCCTGGTGAACAGACATATTGGTATTAAAGGCATTCGAAACGATATAATGAGACGGTATCAAGAAGAAACATACGTGTGTGATATGAATATTACAAAAATGACCTCAGACACGTGAATGAGAAAATAAAAACGAGACGGAATGATACTGAAAATGAGTGGAACAAATTCACTAAGTCATCAAGTCTAGTGAGTTGTATATTTCATGACGTTAATGTAATGTTCATGATTTTATAATTTGATAAACGAATGGTACAATTTCGTAAGTGTCGTAATTTAATGTCAATATAAGTATCAGTAATAACTACCACAGTAGTGCGATAATCATAATAACGATAAAGATGGTAGGACAATTTGAATAGAAGAACGAGAATAGCTGATAGATGAAAAATGGATGGGACAATATGACTTGAGCATTTGCACGACAATGGTGTATTGACCTCGCTGACTGACACGGATTCGAAAGATTAAATCATCAGTTTGGTTGTCAACGTTCACCTAGTCCATCAGATCCATCAGAGTCCAAAATGTTTTTAACGAAAATAGTTAAAAGGTTGCATTCAGTTCGAGGAAGTGCCAAACAGCTTCGTGGTTTAAGTTCTATCCAAAAGATAGGATAACTCATGTGACTGTATCACTAGTGGGCATTATAAGAGTAAAATCTAGGTGTAAAAACCACGGACTCAGCAGACTAAACAGGAAGTACCTAAATTTGCGGGTGTAACCAGCCGGCAAAAGAGGAGACTTCGTAAGCGTGAGGTTAAGGCGTTCTGATAGTTGCAACGAGTAAATCGTAGAACAAGTTTTCAAATGCGCTACAATTACCTTTTTGAAGTGTGGGACGAAATTAAAACCCGACCACATGTACAATCTTTCACATCTATGGTGGAATTAAAACTAGAATAGAAACAACTTATCCTCATTTTGTGACGTGCAATATTAGACATTGGACATTCTTTTGTTTGTTAGTTTTATCAATGACCTGCGCTTGTTTCAGTCGGCGCCGGTGTAAGGTTTTTTTGTAATCCTTGGTATCTTGTTGTTTGGTAATTTTAAGAATGCGTCCTACCCGACGTCAGTCATATATTCGTGAACAGTGTGTAAGTAAGAATGCTTCTAATCAGCGGTAATAGTGTTTTATTATATTTTTAACATTACGATTTTATCTCGTAAACATCAGTTTGAAGTGTTCAGTTTTTTTTACTTATGTGTGTGTCCAAGGTGCATTATCGTTAACGTGACTCCTACAATCTCAAGATGTTCGATTGTCAACAAACACTTCCTGACTATTGCCTTGGACGAAAATTATGAGCCATGTTATTCAAGTCGATGAGACTAATAAATATGGGGAATTAGTCGCGATTTTAAGGAGCTCCATATTTCATCAGTTTCTTAGCTTTAGCGTCTCTTTCTGCATGAGTTCCTTGTGTACTTACTAGAATTATGGAATGCCATATTTGGGTGGATTGAGTCTTTTTTCTGCAAGTGCTATAAAAACAAAGTGTCACAATGTCTTTTTCATTTCTAGCTTTTGCTCAATTGAAACGACACGCTGTGACTGTAAGTAGCTACCAGTGTGGCCTGAATAATTCCATCAATTGTTTTGTGAATGTTTGATGCTTGAAAAATACAATGTGCTTTTTACTGTTCAGCATTACTGCAAATCTCTTGGCATTATTATTTTTATTTAGGAATCCGAAAGAGCCCGACTTGAATATGGTACATTTACCTTTCCTTTCCTAATCTCTGGGTCCTTATATAGTGTTAACACCAGAACTTTTCACAATTCTCAAGACAGGGTTTGATAAACCATCAACGAAATATTCTTATTGGTAACCCGGTTTCATTACTTGTAGCTTAAACATCCACGCTCATTATGTGTCTGTGTTCTAACTATTACGTTTCCGGTTATTCACCTGTATTCTGACCTGATTTTTTAAGCTGTCATACCCTTCATGCATTTAGCGATTTAACACATTCCTTTCATTGATGTATGAATTAAAATAACATACTATTCTCATATCAGTTTTTCCTGTTTAACGACAAATACAAATATACTACCAGAAATTTCTGGTACAAGTGAATCCAGATCTCATTAGAATTAGCCTGGATAAATGCATCTGTGCAGTTTCCACTGGTTTTTATGTATACCACCTTACAGGTTAAGCATAAAATTGGCAGCTCAATAAACGCTGATTCGAATTCCACTATGACCTTAAACTCACCTCTGTCATCTCTGCCAACTTAAAAACTGTTTTTAATGCATTTTATATTTATTGAAAAGACGTGTAAATATGATTAGCATGACAATTTGAATAAAATGAAGCTGGAAAAATCGTATGTGGAAACTTTTGTTAATAGTAGTCTGTGCTGACGACTTAAGCGACTTATTGTATAATAAAAAGACTTAGTTATCAGAAAATTAACGATGAGCACCAACAAAATTACAGTGGAATAACATTTTTAATAGGACTAACAAATCCTTACATGTTGAACTATTCATGGTAAGGGACAAAGGGTTAAGTCTACATATCAGTGGTTGGCCAATGTTGTGAGTTAGGTTATAACTCTGCAGGATGTTAGTCACCAAATAACATTAGGTATTATGCAAAAGGGTTATGGTTTTCATCTTGAGTTGACATCAACTAAAATGTAGTGGAGCTCTGCTACTCTTTTGTTTACAAACTTACCAAACTTAAAGTTGGTGAGACTATAATTCATGAACGACCTTTGAGAAACACCAAAATGGCCTTGAAAACACCCACCTACTTACCAGAGTTAAATCAGAGTTATAAATTAATGAGAGGAATTAGGATTAGAATTTAGATGTTAGGGCTAGAAATTAGAAATAATACTTCCATCACGAACTGATATCAACCGTAGTGTTAAGGTGCCATTTGACCAAATGAATGAATCAATTTTGCGCCAAAATCCAAGATCTGCGATCTTAGATCTGATTGGTTCATCCTTAAAATTTAGACAGAAGTTAGAGTAAAAGTATCTAGCTGTACATTTACCCCTAACTATCCATTGAATTTCATATTTTTTACCATCAATTTCAAGCACTTTAGGAACTGAGTATTCACAGTTTTCACTTGGTCTATAGTAACCTGCAAGATATAATTCATTTTTTTATTGGTTGTTCGAATTTTCCCATTTATGTTTAGGACTGCAATTGGTCAGTTTCATATTGGCATGTGTATCCTGTGCGAATTGCCTCGATATTGCCTTGAATTAAAAGCATTATAAGTGGAAGTTGATGGTGGCCAGCAGTGGATTCAACTATTAGCCACCAATCTCTGGTTATAACTTGTATAATATCTTACATTACGGTTCCGATTTCGCGCAAAATATCGTGGGGAATCGTTTTAATTTTTAGTGGCTCACCCGAGGCCATGAGAATGGCATGCTTGTCAAAGTTTCCAAATCGCAAAGTAGCCTGGTTGTTTTAGTGGGCTTTGTAGCACTTAAATACATCTTGCTAACCAATTATTTTGCTTTATGATCCTTGAATTATACGTTTTGTGAAGGTCGCACTAACCCTTGACTTCTTGATATCAGCATGGTTTAAAAAGGGACAGAAAAATGCAATACACAGTTCTATCTTGGTCTATCTGGTCATATGTTTGACAAGATCAGATCATTTTGAGTGATCTATAGTATACCTTCGTGACACTCCTGTCCCTTCATTGGTCAGATATGACTTAACAAACGATTTTTTGATCTTTGTACATCTCTTATTTTACCTCCTGCTTATATTCTCCAATATCTAATTATTCACATACATAATGGTGCTTTGTAATTTTTTTCAAGTCTATTTACCCAATTTTCACCTACTTCCTATTTTGAACTGTTGACTAGAACATCTGTTATTTTATTATCCTTGACCACCACTATTGCACCTGTCTTACTATCAGTACTTTTACGCAATCTATTTAGTTGTAACCATTGAATTATAATTTGCCTTCATTGGGTTAATATTTTCATATAAATACTGATGTATACTAAGTTGATGACGATCTATTTGAAAACAATATTGTTCGCTTGTATGTGTTGTTCTAATTTGTGATATTTTTTTCAGATAAGTCTGAAAAGTTGTCCATCGTTAACCGTCAGAGCTACTTTTTCCATCTGTTGTTTTCACTGCTCACCGCTGTCCAAGATCATTACGTATACCTTTTGTCACTCCATGTTTAAATTGTTTCCGCTCCTCACTGTGTTCAGAGCCAGATTCTGCGCTACTAGTGGTTAAATAAGGATTTTAAATGTTGTCTAGTTGCTCAAACGGGAGTCACTAACGTGTAGTTTAAGGCTGCGATATACTGACTGAACTTAATACGTTTTAATCACTAAACTATCACTTTGTAAGAATGAATTGTGCTCCATAAGGATCGTCGTAAAAACTATAAGGACACGATTTTTGTTCAGTATGTCTCAATTTCCGGAATCAACTGTCATATGTGTTTATCAAATAGTCAATAAGAGCAACTGATAGGTTTGTTCCTGTTTTTAATTTTTTGCCAGGTTCTTGTTGGACTTATTTTGTGAAGTTTGGGGTTAGTGATTAAAACTTTCGGTTTTTAATCACTAGACCATAAGTTCAAAACTCAATTTACTTACTTGGTTTTGAATAGCATCACTAATTCTTTCATTCAGAATATAATTTGAAAGTGAATGCGAAAAAACTATACTTTCTGGAAAAGCCATATCCTTTTATTCTTGGAAATAAAAAGCACTTAATTGCTTTTATTTGTAATTTTCTTCGTATTAAAAGGTTTCATACTTGATCATAGTCTATGTTTTATCCAGCCCGATTTAGATATGTCAACTAAATCTATCACGAGTACTGATCCTAACCAGTCTGGTTCATTATTGCCTGCTCAGTCACCTGTTCAATTAAGAAAACGTGGTCGGCCAAGTAACAGGAAGTTAGGTCAGTTCATTTATGGTGAAATTTTCTCATTGTTATCTGGAAATTCTGACATAATTCAATGTTTTCTGGGTACTTGTAATATTGATGCAAACCTGTTTGGGATGCGTTTCCCTTTCTTTGAATACAAAATATTCCTTCAATATTACTCTGCATAATCACCTTCACTGATGATAGCGAGTAAACTAAGTGCCTTGATCACTTCATTTATCTTGTGAGTTAGTATCTGAGGTAGTCTCTACAACCCCTCATTAAGCTCCCTTGACTTTTACTAACTTGCATCACTTGCGGTGTATGTGAGATGTTCACCTTTCTTACTTACACCTGTTACTCCATGTCGAGGAGCACAGGCCGCACACCGGCATTCTCCATTCAACCCTGTCCTGGGACATCCTTTCCAGCTCTTTCCAGTTGTTATTCATCCTTCTCATATCTGATTCTGTTTCCCGACGTAATGTGTTCTTTGGCCTTCCTGTTTTCCGCTTTCCTTCAGCATTCCAAGTTAAAGCTTGCCTCGGGATGCAGATTGATGATTTGCGTAATGTATGTCCTATCCATTTCCATCGTCTTTTCCTAATTTCCTCTTCAGCTGGAAACTGGTTTGTTCTCTCCCAATGGATGTTGAGTATCTTGCGTAGACAGCTATTTATAAATACTTGTACATGTTTGATGATGGTTGTAGTAGTTCTCCCAGTTTCAGCTTCGTGCAGTAGAACTACCTTGACGTTCGTATTGAAGATTCTGACATTGATATTAGTTAAAAGTTGTTTTGAGTTCCATATGCCCTTTAATTGTAGAAATGCGACCCTTGCTTTGCCAATCCTCGCCTTTACGTCTGTATCTGATCATCTTTGTTCATCGATGATGCTTCTCAGGTATGTGGAGGATTCTACATCTTCCAGAGTTTCGCCATCAAGAGTGATTAGATTGCTGTTCTCCGTGTTGTATTTGAGGACATTGGTTTTCCCCATGTGTATGCTGAGGCCTACTGATGCAGAGACTGCTGCTACACTAGCTGTCTTTATCTGTATTTGTTCATGTGTAAGCGATAGGAGGGCTAGGTCATCTGCAAAGTCGAAATCGTCTAATTGGTTGTGAGCTGTCGATTGTATGCCGTGTTTTCCCTCAGATGTCGAGGTCTTCATAATCCAGTCGACCACCAGAAGGAAGAAAAAGGGAGAGAGTAGACAGCCTTGTCTGACTCCGGTCCTTACTTGAAATGTATCTGTCAGCTGTCCTCCATGCACGACCTTGCACTGTAGTCCGTCGTATAAGTTCCGGATAATGTTGACAATCTTCTCAGGAACTCCATAGTGTTGAAGAAGTTTCCATAATGTTCTATCTACACTGATAAACGTTCTCTCGTAGTCATTGAAGCAGATGTATATTGACGAGTTCCACTTAAATGATTGTCTGACAGTCATCCGTAGCGTTGCAATTTAGTGAATTCAATGGATCTGATCTATTCAAGAGGTGCTAAAAGTATTATACCCATCTGTTCCGCTGTTCTTGAATTTCAGTGATTGGCCTGCCTTCTTTGTCCTTGACTGGTCTCTCTGGTTTAATATATTTCCCTGATAGTTTCTTCGTTGTATCGTAAAGTTGTTTCATATTTCCTTCCGTCGTTGCTAATTCTTCCACGTATTTCTTCTTGTCGGCTCTAATGCTCTTCTTCACTTGCTTATTTGCTTCTATGTACTCAGCTTGTGCTTGGACTTTCTCTGCTCGTGTTCGGCTGTTGTTAATTGCTGTCTTCTTGTTCTTTCTTTCTTTGGTTCTGTCCAGTGTTTCTATAGAGATCCATTCCTTATGATGCTGCTTCTTGAGGCCCAGAACCTCTTGACACGTTGAAGTTAATGCTTCTTTGATACCTTTCCAGTCGCCCTCCACAGTAGTTTCTTCTTCCTTCAGTAGATCGTATAAGGCTTGGAACCTGTTGTTGATAGCTATCTTGAATTCATTGAGTTTGTCAGTATCTCGAAGGAAGGCTGTGCCGAACTTTTGTAGTTCTGGTTGTCCAGTTGTTCTTTAGCTTCATTTTTAAATTGGCTACAACTAGGTGGTGATCTGAAGCTGTGTCAGCTTCTCTCCTGGTTCTCACATCTTCCATTGTCCTTTGGAATTTTTTACTGATGCAAATATGATCTATCTGGTTCTCTGTGGTGTGGTCCGGTGAGATCCATGTAGCTTTGTGTATACGTTTGTGTGGAAATATGTTCACCTACCAACTAGAATATAGTAATTTCATCTAGCAGTTTCCTCTGTTGTACTCTTTGACTATAAGACATGGTTTGTGAAAGTAAAAGACAAGCATATGTTACAGATTTTGATCATAGGTGTTTTCAAACCATTTCCTACGTATTTTCGGACCACTGAGCTAGCAATGTTCAGGTAAGGGATAGGGTGATTAACGAGGTTAACGAGGTTGTGAATCTCTGGTGATTGGTCCGGCTGAATGAAGTTATTAGGACATCCCATGGTAGTTAATGTATTGATAGTATGCATCTGCACCATTGTTGACGGTTGTGATCAGTATTACCCAATTGGTTACGGTAATCGCTTGGACCTCAACCAGTTAGTGTGCACTTACCAGTACAGCTCAGTCCAGTAGTCAGTATTTTCATGGACTGACTCCATTTCTGTTAATCTTCCTCTAGATATTCAGTTTTATATCGTTTCTGCCACAAGTTAATTGTTCCTTTTCCGAATCATATTCTTTATTCTTAATTTCTTTCTCCGAACACTGATACTGTTGGTACTTATAGTGTAGTAGGATTTGTCTTGATGATTTCATTTCATTGTGATACTTAAGTGTGATAACTCGTACAGGTCCACATATGTCCCCGGTTCAACGTTGTTTATAAGTGATTAACCGATTATGTTTTTCTTACAATTCATACCAATCTTTGGACACATTTTGAAAACTCTCTTCATTTTTATTTTCTTTAGTAAAATGCTATGATTATATACAAATATTAATTATGAAAATAACCATGAATAAATGTAGTTTAGTAAATAAGTGATTGGTGGATACATGTGCCGTAATGTACGGTGTTCAAAAGTTAATACTAATATACACTTTGTCGAGAGAAAAGATACTTGGTGAGAAAAAAATGTTTTTTTGTTTAACCCAAATCCCATTTATGTATGTACTCCTTTAGGAAAGTAAACTTATCAGTGGTTCATATCTCATCTGTTGGAAGTAAAAGCCATTTCTTGACCGATCGGATGTACTTATCATTTGACTATTTCTGATTGATCTACCGTATTGGTAGGTTGTATTATTCATTCACTCATTCTTTCACTTAACTATCTTAATTCTTGCTCATAATAATAGCAACGTCAGGAGATCCAGTCTCATAGTAGCTGGTGACCAACTGTTGGTTCATACGCCATTTATTCCTTCAGGATCCTAGAGTCCATGTGCACCATTGGTAGATCCTCCGTGTCCATCAACCCGGTTAAAACGCTCGACATTCTCTTTTCGTCCTCTCAATTTCGTAGATAACACCACCACCGCGAGAAGGTAGTGATTAGGATTTCCTTGGTAGTGGTTGTATACGCGTGGTCATGTAAGAGCGTTTCGAGAGGGAGAATTTACTCTCTTCACTCTCGACCGTACCAAGGCATTTGGGGAGATGCTGCATATAATATCAAACAAACAATATAAAAATGTGTATTATTCTTATTGCTTATGTGATTATGTTTTGTTTATTGTTAGTTCTAATATTTCATTTCTATTCCTCACAAATAGTTCATTTTAATCAGAATTCATCAAATGGATCATCTGATCCTAAACATATCAATAATAATTTTGAAGAAAATTCATCAACCAATGAAAATCAAAGATATTTTATCAATAAAAAAATGAATCAATCCACTTTATATTCTTCAAGTTCAGATGATTCAAATTTACATTATCCACATCGTGTATTACGTCCACGTAGATCAACATCAAATTATTATCCACAAAGAAAAAGACGAAAACATTTACGTTGTGAAATAAGTAAAAAATCATTATCTACTCATCGAAATATTCAATATAATGTACAAACTAATTCATTACATGATAATTTATCCATTAACATTAAACCATGTACACATTCAATAAAAGTTGAAGAAGATCATAATAATGCTATGCTTGAAGATGATGATGGTGTAGATGATGTTGATGATGAAGAGGAAGATGATCAAGATGAACAACAAACAAGACGTTATCCAGTACGTAATCGTAAGAATACTATTGTTTACCAGGGTAAGAATTGTACATAATTTTTATGTATATGTACATTGTTTATTCTCAATTGTTTGTTTATCATTCCTTAAGTATTCGAAATATTATGGTATGGGTTACTTATATCCACATAAGTAGTATATAACAGTGGTCAGGCATAGAATGTATTTCAATAAGGAAAGAATAGGAACGGAACGTAATTGGTATGAAAATGAATAAACCATGAAATTTGAGACAGTAGACTGATATTTACAAAAGGAACATTCAAGTTTGAGACGATGAATTGATAATTTGCAAATTGACTATTTACTATATGGTTCTCAGATTTTAGTGAGATAGATTCGATTGTCCTCATTTGTGTTCTTGTTCACCACAATATCAGTAAGATTTATTTTGAATAATATGATCTATTTAATAAATATACCAAGTGAGATCACAGGAATTGTATTGTACAACATTTAGGGTACATTGATGTTTATCCACTTAGAAGGGCTTTTTGTTTTTCTCAATATGCTTTTCTCATTTTCGTGTTTTCATTGTCTAAATCATTCTAAAAGTTCTTAAAATTCAGATTCAATATCGTTACGTATAGAGTTATAATTCATTGTCACTAGTGATGAATCTCATGAAAATCAAAGGTTTGAGTTGATATTACTATAATCCATTTGAAATTCCATTTTTCATAACTTTTAAGTTAGGTGTTAATAAACTTTTAGACATTCTTTTAAAGATAATGCTCTCACCGTCTGATTTTTCAGGGGTTGATGCTCTACTAGGAGATTCACTTGTTAACTGTGAATACTCTGATAATATAGTTTCGCTCGGTGAATATTGACAAAATACAGTCTTCTGACCATCTTAACCAGCAATGCAAGGATGTTTGGGATGCGATTCTCTCCTTTCAGATGGAAAATGTTGCTTAAGGATTGGTCTGCGTCAGCGTCTGAATTAATGATAGGGAGTGAAGTAGTTGAGGGTACCAACTGCTTCATTTATCTTAAGAGTCCGATCAATCCTTATGGTCTGGTGTCTGATGAAATCTCAGCACGAATTCAGAAAGCTCATTTGACTTTTGTCAACCTGAGTCACTTGTGATTTGAGAGGGATATCTGTCTCCCAACTAAAGCTTGATTTTACAACCCAACAGTTCGCGCTGTTCCAATTTATGAGTGTGAAAAATGGTCATTACGAATATAAGGTATTTGTGAATTACTAGTATTCGACAATAGATATCTTTGATACATTACTCGTATATTTTGGGATCATTGTGTGATCTATCCCTGGGTTAGAAAAAGGGTACTAGGTAAGGATGGTGAATCGCTTGAAGAGGTGGTAAATATTCATCAGCTGAAGTGGTTGAGTCGTGTATTACAAATTTCCAACTACTGTCTACGTTGATGGGCGATGTTGTGCGATGTAGAGGAGTAGGATGGAAGAAAGCTAGGGGCGGCCAAACCGAAACATAGCATCAGTCGCTGATAACCAGGTTTAGCCATGTTAACATGTATACAGTACCTGGTTGGGGTCCACATGCTTATCGTAATCCATGGTTAGAGACTTTGACATTGCTCAAAATCGTTTGTAATGGCACAGGTGCATTCATTCCTTGTCTTTTCACAAATTCTGAGATCCTAAATTCATCATAACCTTACTTTTTATTTCACTGATTTATATTTGCGGTGCCTAATCTTTTTCACTACCACTGATAGTGTTACTACCTGTACTACTGTGGGATTGTCCCTTGGAATTTCGTCTCGTTATGCGAATAGAATGTGGCATCTTGTTGAGATGTACATATTTGCCAGGTTCTACTTTGAGTTTGACTAACTGAGACTTTTAGACGATTTTGGGGTGCAGTTTTCTCAGTTCAAAATGTTTGTCTAGAATTTTATGCACAGGGGATTTTTTTCATATCCAGTTAATCAACAACCATTTGTTATCGAAACATACAAAAGTTCGCGTGTGTTCATATCGCTCTATATGTGGTCGAGGACCTGTTAAAGACTCTTGATATGTAACTGTATATCGTATAACAAATAATTATTGTCAGTATAGATTTGTGTAGAATGTTAAATTTTATTAAGATCGCAAATTGGTCTTAGTTAGACAACTATTGAATACCTGAAACCACTGAACAACCGTTTCACTCTAGTATGGAACTCCGGGGTAGTGTGTATCCATGGCGTTATAACTCAGACATAAGGTAATAAACTCAGTAAAACGAATCAACTTTGAGCAAGTAGAAAATGTATAAACCAATTAAGAGAACAGTTAGTTTATCACTAATCAAATGTAAAATATAAAAAATAAATTCTATAACAAAATAACAAGCTATTCATGAGTAATACAGTTGTAATACATAAATGTAACAGTGTAGCGCAAAGCCGTTAATAAATCTATTCTTTTTTTCAATCGTTTCATGATCTCAATCAAAGAACTTAATAAACTCCACAACCTCTATACTGATAATTACCATGTGTTCACTAGCGACTAGCTTCGTGAGGGGATTCTCGGAGTTCTAGTGAGAAGCCATGACCAGTGGAGCTAATCGGTGTCGGGTAGAGTATTATTTGAACACATGAATATTGGTACAAGAGAGCGCCAATATATATGCGCCACACAAAACAATGAGAATTCAAGAGAAGTAGAAAAAAAAACTAAGGAGCGCAAAAGAAAAAGAGAACAATGACGAAGAGATTGAAGTAAGGTAGTGTGGTAGTAACGACGGAACGAAAAGGTACAATCAGAAGAAATCTTTCAGGTAAAGGAGACACAATCACTTATTATGAAGAAAGTAAAAGAAGGTTACAGCAGGATCGCCACTGGCTTCTATTCTGAGCCATATCTGATAACGTCTCTAGCCACTGTGTAGCACCATCTCTCAGACCCCAACCAGGGAGTCGTGAAGGACCAACAGAAGCCAGTCCTTTACAGCTTTCTTTCATACCACGACACCATGTCATGCACTGGCCACCTCTCCGCTTCTTCCAACCAGTCCCAGAGTCGGCAAATAATGCACGACGTGGAATTCTCTGAGACGACATTCGGAGAACATGTCCAAGCCACCGAAGTCGGTGTTTCAATATGATGACACCAATTGAATTATCATCTCTGTGCCCGAACACACGATGCCGAACCTCTGCATTACTGACATGGTGTTGCCACTGAATGTCAGCAATCCTTCGGAGACAGCGATGGTCGAACACAGAGAGTCGTCTAACGTCCTCAACTCGGAGAGACCAGGTTTCACAAGCATAGAGCAAAACTGCTCTCACCGACGCGTTGTAGATCCGACCTTTTACGGCCAGACTAACATCACGAAGGCGCCAAAGGTGGCCCAGATTGGCATAAGCCGCTCTGGCTTTCACTATTCGTGCATTGATCTCATCACTCACACCCCCACCAGCACTTATGCAGCTACCCAGATACACGAACTTCTCGACTACGTCTATCTGCTCACCATCCAGGGTGAGTACAGGATTGGAATCCTGCCAGTCTTGTAGAAGTACTTTGCACTTGGAAGGTGCAAAGCACATACCATACCTACGGACACTGATTGCCAACTGATTAAGTGCGGATTGCATGCGTTGGGCATTATCGCACAGTAAGACAATATCGTCCGCATACTCAAGGTCGAGAAGTCTTTCTCCAGGCAACAGATCCACACCACCATTACTTACATTCATCAGAGCTGTTTCCAGAATGTCATCGATGGCAAAGTTGAAGAGGAATGGTGAGATTGGGCAACCCTGCCTAACCCCACTGCTCGAATGGAACAATGGAGAGAGGTGGTTGCATGCCCTCACTCTGCCTGATGTGTTTTTATATAGGGCTTTTAGGATGTTAATAAACTTCTCAGGCACACCCTTCTTCAATATACAATCCCAGAGAACAGCCCTGTCCAACGAATCGAAGGCAGCCCTGATATCAAGAAACACTACGATTGTTGGCCTTTGAAAAGTATGGCGGTGTTCTAATATTTGGCGGAGGGTGAAGATATGATCAATACATCCTCGACCAGAACGAAACCCACCCTGCTCCTCGCGAGTCAATCTTTCTCGGGTTTTGAACAACCTACGAAGAATGACGGAAGCCAATAGCTTGGACGCAATCGGAAGTAAACTTATCCCCCGATAGTTGTTACAGGAACGACGTGAACCCTTTTTAAAGATAGGGACAACTATCGACTCATTCCATGACGTTGGTACACTCTCTAGTTCCCAAACCTTTGTAAACAACGTCGTCAATTCCTTAGTCAAAAAGTCACCACCATCTTTAAAAAGAGCCGGAGGTAAGTCATCTGGGCCAGGTGATTTGTAACGCTTCAAGAGTTGGAGTTCCTTGCGGACTTCCTCCTCATTTGGTGGATCAGTCGTCACCGGCCATGGAGGGCAGGACAGTCTGACCGATGTTGCCGGAGCAGCAGGCCAGTTGAACTGAAAAATTCTGCCCATCGTCCAAGACGTCGATGGATGTTAGTGATTGGCATCCCATCATCCTCGCAGATTGTTTCACTCACACCAGGCTTCTTGCTGCCAGTGGCTCGGATGAGCTGGAAGAGTTCCGGTAGTTACCAGATGCAGCTGCTGCTTCCAGCTCATTAGCACGCATCGACCACCAGGCTTCTCGGTCCTTACGCAAGCTTTGCCCAATTTCCTTACGTAACATCCTTCGTTTATGGTCAAACTCACGGTCACCTGGAGTAGACCGACGGGCTTCAATGAGTTGTAAGGAACCTGCAGAAACCCAGTGCTTAAAAGCGGGACGTTTCGCAAACCCACAACTGACTGTTCCCGCCATTTTCATGGCGTCATGCAATTGCAACCAATGCTCATCTATACTTTTCGGTGGAGTGGTAGCTAGCCTAGAGGCTAGCTCGGTTCGATACTTACTTGCAACAGAAGTTGCAACCAGCTTGCTAACATCAATCTTTTGGTGGTGGTCACTTCGTTGTCCACTGAAAAGTAAGGCAAGATTGGCGCAGACCAAGGTATGGTCAGAGTCCAGATAGGTACTCCAAAAGGAGCGGCAGTCTTGTACACAACCACGCCAGCGGTAGCTGATCGCGATGTGATCAATCTGAGTCCAGGCTTGAGATGCAGAGGGAGGACGCCAGGTGGCACTTCGGCGATGACTGTGCCGAAAGTTAGTGCTAGCCAGAAACAGGTTGTGGTCTGTGCAAAGTTGCAGTAGACGGTCCCCGTTATCTGACCTGCGACCAACGAGTCCCCATCGGCCACCTAAACGACTCTCTTCTGTGCCTAGACGCCCGACCTGAGCATTCAAGTCTCCGGCTAGTACTACAATATCTGTCGAACGCACTTTCTGGAGAAGAACTGATAACTGGTGGTAAAACTCATCCTTGATTGCATCCGGGCTGCAATCTGTCGGGTCATAGGCGGAGATGACGAAAAGACATCGTTTCTCACGCCGATTTCTTCTCACTTTGATGGAACTTTCTAATCTAACAGCACATAACCGACTGTTAATGGGGATCCAATCGACTAGTGCTGCCTCAGCTCTAGCGCTCAGTGCGACACCAACGCCAGTAAGACCAGACGAAGATGCCACAGGGTCCCCGGATAAGCGCACGTAAAACAAGCTTTTCGAAGCGACAGATGGAGGTCGAATTTGTAGTACTTCGCCAGAGTCTTGAATACGGGTCTCGGATAGACAACACACGTCGATATTAAGACTTTCCAAAGACATAGCCAGCCCTATCTGTTGTCCGACCTGCATAAATGTGCGAACGTTGAAGGCAGCCAGTTTGAATGATGCACGTGGTTTCAGAAAAACTGCTTCAGTCCTCGTATTCGGTGGTATCATACAATTTTCAACCGGACAGTGACTCGAGAACGTTTAGATACAGTCGGATTTCCACCAAAGACGAGTCGCTGTATAAGTATAAAAGAGGGTGAATAATGTGGAAAATAATAATAATAATGATAATAATAACAATAATGACAATAATAGTAGTAATAATAATACTAGTATTAATAATGACAATAATTGTAATGATAATCTGAATCAATTGTTCGTTTTTCAAAGCGAGAAAGGCAATTTCCATAGGCATAAAGAGTTCATCAATTTGTGTGTGGGCTGTGATACTGCCCGGGTGCCCAAACCGAAGCAGGTGATTATCTTAGGGGGCCACTCCCCGAGCCTTTGACCTAAAGGTCTAACCCACAAGGCAGTGGAGCATCGTAAGGAGATGCAGTCCCATGGTAGCCGGTGACCAACGATTGGTTCATACGCCATTTGTTCCCGCAGGATACTGGAGCCCATGTGCACCATTGATTTGGAATCCGGTTAAAGCGCCGGACATTCGCTTTTCGTTCTCTCATTTTCGTAAACAACAACACCCCCGCCACGAGAAGGCAATGAGTAGGACTTCCCTGCAGAGGCTGTATACGCGTGGCCGTGTGAGAGTATTTCGAGAGGGAGAGCGGACTCTCCCCACTCTCGGCCGTACCAGGGCATTCAGGGGGCAGGTATCTACCTCAGTACAATGGAAGTTGGTCGTGCAATTTCGTGGATTGGTTGAGGTAAGACATTAATACCGTTGGATATCGGTCGGCTCAGTGGTCTAGAAGTTAAGCGTTCGCTCACGAGACCGAAGGCCCTGGGCTCGAATCCCGCGACCGGGATCGTGAATGCGCACTTTACTGAGGAGTCCTACAATTGGATGAAACGGCCGTCCAGTGCTTCTAGGTTTTCAATGGTGGTCTAACATCAATCGGTTCATGATCTCAATCAGAAAACTTAGTAATCTCCATAATCCCTATACTGAAAATCTATATTCACTTAGTAAATTAGATTAGATCTTGAAATGTTCAACTAATAATAACTGTACATGGAATAGAATGCACATAATTATTATTCTGACTTGTGTTCATCTTTTAGTTCGATTGAATTAATAATAAATTTCTCAAAAGTTCTTTTTTTTCTTTTCTTTCAGTTGAAAATTTGCAGAATAATCATAGTAATAGTAACAATCATGGTGTTCAACAACATCAAAGAAACTGGTTAGCCGGTACAGGTTATCATAAAGAAAGACGATCACGTCAATTGAAATCCAAGTGAGTGTAGAGGATTTCTGCTTATATATATATATATATATATATATATATATATATATATATATATATGCGACCACCCTGACCACAAGGCCTCCGAATGCCTTATTGCGGTCGACGGTGGGGGGATCCACTCTCATATGGCTACGGGTATATAGCCACCGCCAGTGAAATTTTATTCACTGCATTTTTGTGGCAGAGGTGTCTTTTAAGAAATTGAGAGGACGAAAAACAAATGTCTGACCCTTAAACCGGGTTGGTGGGTACGATGGATCCACCTAGGGGAGTTGGGGTACGCTTATTGTAAAGCAGTAGTGCACATGGGCTTCAGGGTCCTGAGGGAAAAATGACTCATGAAAATATTGTTAGTCACTGGCTACTACGGGACCGCATCTCCTGACGTTGGTGCATTGCCTTATGGATTAGATCACCATGTCAACGCCTCGAGGAGTGGCTCCCTATGAAAATCACCTGTTTCTGTCCGAGGAGTATTCGAGCCCACACACAAATTGAATGATAACTACCATGTGTAGCGCATATTTATTTTTATGCCCCTTTGTATCAATTTTTATGTGTTTGAATAAATAACCACCAGCTAGTATTAGATGTATTTATGCATACATGTAGTAAAGGAGATTTCAAGTGGTTATACATAGTTTGCGTTAAATCGTGCTTGATCTAGATTTTGTGATAGTTGGTAGTCATTAGTAAGGTGTACATGAAATCTTGAGGAACTGGTGCTGTTTGTGTATAGTAACCGTCATTTTTAATTGACATCCACCCGAGAAATCAGTTTAAAAGAATGTTATATAAAAATACCAATCATGAATTATTTCACTAATCACCCAACATTACATACAAGTATATATGGATAATAGTTAGCTATGGAATTCAAGGTGCAGATTTCATCGTTTTCGATGCCCGTCAGCTTGGTTTACGTGCCTGTATCTTTGTTGTTGTTCACACTGAAACTGGTACATATAACTGAACACTACAAATGCCAACAAGTCGTTATCTTTCCTCCTACATACCTCAACCTGCTGAGTCATAGTTATTAATTTATCCAAAAGAGATAAGCTTTGTTACCTTTACGATGGTCTGTCTACACCTTATCGTTGATATTCAGTTTGATACTGTTATTGGCTTCACGTTTCACCAAATTTAGACACTGATATCGAATACTAAATAGTGAAGATGATTCACCGACTATCTCTGACAACTGGTTTACTGTCTCCTTGACACTTAGCAATATGTGGCAATGTGTAGTCAACGTAGTGTGTATGTTCATCACTTCCCAACTTACGCATAAAAAATCGAGTCTTCCACGCCTCATCTTGTTGGCAGAATTCTATTTTAAATGTATGCTCCTAATGCTTGAACCACATGAAATTGGTATTTCCACTTTTGGGGTCGAAGTTGAATTCTAGGTTGCTTCTGGCAATTGCATCACTAGATGTAGTTGAATTAGCGTGTGAACTCAAGTAGTGGTTGTTAAGCTGTTGCGTCAGAGTTTCTAACAACTGCGTTTGTGCATCAAGTTGTGCTTGCTGTTGTTCTAGTATTCGGTTGAGTTGGTCATCTGATTTCGGCATGTTGAATGTTGTTTGTCATTTTCCTCGTCGCCACTGTTATTATTACGATTCAGCTACTCTTATTTCTTAGTATTTTTGGACACTTATTCACTTGACAAGTCTCCAAATCAGAACACGATGGAACAGGGATGTAATTATATTCCAAATAACAAAGTTAAATAGAAGCAGGGATTACGATAAGAAAAATGTTAGTGTATTTATAGTTTTTTTTATCACGAGAATATTCTCAAGTCTTCTCCAAGTTTCCGCTAGCTCTGATTGGTTACGAAATAGTCAATCAGCGTGCTCCAACACAATCCTTTACAGAACATTTTTTATGTCGCTAACAGGTACGCATTGTAATCAGTTGTAGTTTTAACGCTTATACACAAAATCTCTACAAACCTAGTAAGTGACACTTGTAAAGGTTATAACAAGTGGATAGAATAGTGATATTAACATCTTAAGATGAAAAGACTCTTTCACATCATAATAAATAAGTGTTTATTCTTTTTTCTAACATTTTTCTGCTTAAAACGTTATTGGTTTTAACATTCCCTACTTTCTACATTTTTTAAAGGCATCGTAAAAATTTAGAACATTGTGGTTCAAGTAGTAGTAGTACATCGTCTTCTTCATCAACATCATCATCAAGATCTCATATTTCTGATAGATTATTCTGTAATCGTAATAGTTGGCATAATCGTTGGCATTGTTCTTCCACTAAAGAGAATAATGTTCCATTAACAGTTGATAAAGATGAAAAACGTTTTCAACGTCGTATTAATAAAAGTATTATACATGCTAGATCAGAGCTTATGCCTATAAACAGTCATCAACTTGGTTATGAAGTATGTTCTATTCATATATTATTCTATTATTTTATAACTTATACATATTCTGTTAAATAGAATTTTATTATAGTTTGTACTGGTTTATAGAGATAATTTTTTGGATTTAACTGTTCTATAATGATAAAAACAATCCAACTCGTTTACAAGGTACTTGAGTATGCGCTATATTCTAAGTGTATAGGCTAATGATACTAGCACTTGGTCGTTTAAACCGAAGCAGATAAAGCTGGGTTCGAATCTAGGAGTTGGTGACTGAAAGTCAAACACCTTGGCTAATAGACACTGATCTACAAGAAATCTAATTCAAATCTCTATCTACTAATGAGCAGATGATTGGAATTTCGGCAATTTAATTTGCAGAAGTTTGTTCCAACTTGACAAACGAAAGGTGTTCCGATCTTAACCTTCACATAGCGGAGTCATGAATAGGTTCCACCGAGGAGTCTTATTCTGCGACGAAATAACTGTCCAGTGCTTTATGGTTTCTTATGGTATCTCAGCTGAGACCAATCTAAGACTTACAAATTAAACCAATCTGCAGAGGAACCCTTCAATTAAAATATATTGTTTTGATGGATTAAAACACCACCGCACTTTCCAAACATTGATTCGCGCAGGTTTATAGGTCACTTCTTGAGTGCTGTTAGAGGTATAGACCTATTGATGGAAATAACACTCTCGTCGACTGAATTCTCGGGTATTGATCTCCTTCCAGGAGGTCCACTTATCGACTTAGAATACGCAGATTCCTGTTTGGTGAAGACGCTGACAAAATGCAGAGTCTTCTGGTAGCACTAAGCAACAATGCCAGAATGTTTGGGATGCGCTTCTCTCCCTCTAAATGCAAGTTGTTGCTTCAGGACTGGTCTCCGTCAACACCTGAACTAAGGATAGGGAGTGAAGTAGTCGAACGCGTTGACAACTTCACTTATCTTGGAAGTCTGATCAGCCCTAATGGGTTGGTGTCTGACGAAATCTCAGCACGGATTCGAAAAGCTCGTTTGGCTTTTGCCAATTTACGTCACCTTTGGCGAAGGCGAGATATCCGTCTATCAATAAAAGGACGAGTATACTGCGCGGCAGTCCGTTCTGTCTTACTTTACGGCAGCGAAACATGGCCCTTAAGAGTAGAAGACACCCGTAAGCTACTAGCATTTGACCACAGATGCCTTAGAAATATTGCTGGTATCTGCTGGGATCACCGGGTAAGTAATAGTGAGGTTAGACGCAGGGTATTAGGTAATGATGGTAAATCAGTTGATGAGGTTATGAACCTTCATCGACTGAGATGGTTGGGCCACGTATTACGTATGCCTGAACACCGATTACCACGACGTGCAATGCTAACCGGGGTAGGGGATGGTTGGAAGAAAGTTAGAGGCGGCCAAACCAAAACGTGGCATCAGTGCTTGAAGTCACTAACTTCTAGTCTGAGCCATGTTGGTAGATGCAGACTACTTGGTTGGGGTCTGCGTGACTTTCGTAACCAATGGTTGGAGACTCTTGGTGACATGGCTCAGAATCGATCACTATGGCGTCGGTGTATACACTCCCTGTCTTCCCTTAAACCAAGAGACTAAAATCACTTCATATCTTTCTTTCTACGAACTAATTCTTTCTTCCTATACTATATCCTTATTGCAACCTTTGACCTAACCACTCCTATGAATCCGCTGTTCATCTTGCTGTGCTAATGAGGTATGGCAACGTGGACCGATGCACATATGTGCCTGGTCCTACGTTGTAGCTGACTGACTGACTAGGTCACTTCGACACTTAATTTGGTTTTTGGTAGCTAATTGTTGTTACTAGGTAACATACAAAATGGTCAGTTCAGTTGACATGTATACGAACCATGTATATTATAATTGACCAACGTTTTTATCGTATTTTAGAATCTGAAGATATCCTAATCAGAGAAATTTCAAGGTAACAAGAACATTGAAGTGTTTTCATTCTCCTTGTTACAATATTTTACAAACATTGTGATTAACTATCAGAGAAAAAAATATTGTTTGTTTAAAATCTTAACAAGAAAAGAGTATCTATCGGGATTTACGGTCTTCCTACAATACTGACGAATTAAAGACCGTTTGAGCTATTCGACGATGACAGTCATAATACCGACTTGATAATGGCAGTTGGGACGTAACATGCACACGGAACAGCTTAACAATTATCCACCATTAACCAACTTATTCGATGTGCGGTAATGGCTGTTGTGGGAGTAGGTTTGAAGAAAGCTAAGAGCTACAAAATCGAAATGTAAATTCGGTCTGTGAAAACATTGACTGTTGTACTGAACCATATCGACAGGTTCAGACTTCGTGATTACCGTGACTAATGGCTTGATATTTTGGGTGATAATGCCTAAAATCGTCCTTAATAGCGTAGCTGCACTCATTCTTTCTCTAGATCCTAAGTTTCTAATTCATCCTTTCTTGAATCGTCTCTTGGCTAGCCTAATCTCGATTATCTCTAAGACTTCAGCATTAAGAAAAAAGACTATCTAATTCTGTGATTCCCTTGGCAGTTTGATGTTAGTTTGTCCAGTAAAAAAATTGTGGCACGAACTGGTCTAGATAATATTGTTCTAAACTAGGAAATCCCTGAAAAACTCACCTTTCCTTTTATGAAGTTTGTAGTAAATTCTTACTAATATGATCCATCAGTAATTAGACCCACGAAGTGTATGTTTCTTATCGAGGTATTCAATCGAAATCTAGTTGTTTATATGTCCGATTTCAGTTAATTTTCAATAGTACGACCATTACTTTGAAATCCTGGGTTCAATCCTTGACACTACTGTTCAGTACCATATTGGAAGTAAACAACTATCTGCACATTAGTACTATTGGTCTCAATGGTTCTGCATCAGTTTTTCTTTCAAATGTTAATTTATGTTATCGATCCCTTCCTTTTTCATACACCGTTGTTGTTTGCTTTTTAAAGAATAAATCCACGGCAGGAAATCGAAGTTTTTCTACAACTTGCTTGGCAGATATCGAACCAATGTCTATTGATTCATCTGTCGGCTTCGAACAAGTTGGGGGTCATGAAAAACATATATTAGCATTGAAAGAAAGTATAATTCTACCGCTAATGTATCCCGAAGTGTTTTCAAAATTCAATGTAGATCCACCTCGTGGTGTACTGTTTTCAGGACCTCCAGGTAAGTAGTATTCAGTTTAGTCTTGCGTGACTGTAACTTGTTCACTTGGTATCTTTCACTCGATCTCAAACTCCAGTGTTCCTTCATATCTACGTTTCCACTTTATCTTTTCATCATCTTGTCGTACTAACGTGATATGAAGACTGTCCAACACACGTATTTACCAGGCTCTATGTTGATGATATCCATCTGTATACCTAAAAGTGATACGAAAATTCCTGGTCTTATGATTACCTGCATAATTACCATTGGCCTTATCGCTTTAGGTGTATACAAACAGGTGTCAAATTATCCTAGATGAGTTGTTTCACATCTTAATAATCGGTAAACGTCAAGTGAACCTTTTTTCTAGTCCTCTCTAAGATCTCGTCAACTACTAGCCTCTCGCACCAACTTTCAAGATGTGTAATTTGGTAAGTGTATCCAACTCTTTCACTGCTTCTATTCAATTGTAGAAGGGAAGTTACGTAACGTTCTAATGAAGTATGCAGAAAAATATTAGAATGTTCTTGTAGAAGAGAGATAATTGTTCACTTTTTGGTATGAAGAACATAATTATGAAGTGATAATAATCAATTTGTTTAAACATGAAGGATAGAAAGGGTGTTTTAGACTCAGTGGTCTTGAGTACTGTTAGAGGTATGAGAGCGGTTATCACTTCCCGGTTGCCCACACCGTGGAAGGGTTCTTCTGGAGGTACCTGAAAAGGAAATTGGATTAGAGGTGGTCTTAGTGACCTGGGAGCGTGACCGCAGTGCCCGAGGGACAACTGCTTGGGGTTGGTCACACACGACCTTGTTATGGGCACTTTTTGTGTTAGCTCCGTACTTGTTGAAACCTTACCGCCGGAGACAGATATCCGTGGGATAAGACGAAGTGTGCATTTTTAGGGTTGACCTTTTCTAACCCCATCCTTCCTTTATGGGAAGGCAGCATCTCTGTCATGCTGGTTGTCTGAAGGGAACACCTTACTGCTGCCACACCTCTGTACAGTCAGCAGTACGACTTCGCCTTCGAACCTTAGGTTTGTTGTTTTTAGTCTTACTACCCTTCAACCGACCTGTCTGACATGGTAGGACCTTTAGGAACGATTGTTCCAGCCAGTATAGCTCGGTTGCTTCATCACGATAGGCAAGCCCGACCACCATGTCAAGGTAGCAACAACGGTCGGGGTGTTTTAGACTGTGGTTAGGTTAAACATGTTGCTTTTGTACACAGATTAGTCTGGAATACATGGATTGCTAAAGTCTCTAAGGTTTATAAACTAATGATTTGTAATCATATTGAACTACTTTACATGACTTTATGGGTGACTTTAAGGTGAGATTCCGGGGAAAGTGATGTGACCAGTTTTTACAAGATAATCAGGAATCGAACTATTAACTGGTGTTTTGATCTATTATTATTTATTTATTTTAGCACATAGATATTGGTACAAGGGGGCACCAAATACATATTCGCCACACATCTGATTTGATATGTGTGAGGGCTGCGCTACTGCCCGGGTGCTTAAACCGAAGCAGGAGGTTTTCATAGGGGGCCACACCCGGAGCCTTCGACCTGAAGGTCTGATCCACAAAACAGTGGAGCAACGTAAGGAGATGCATTCCCATGGCAGCCGGTGACCAACAATTGGTTCATATGCCATTTGTTCCTTCGGGATACTGGAGCCCATGTGCACCAGTGGTTTGGAATCGAAGTTTCCCAACTCCCCTAGGTGGACTCTCCTTGTCCACCAAATTGGTTAAAGCGCCGGACATTCGCTTTTCGTCCTCTCAATTTCGTAAACAACAGTAATGCCACGAGAAGGCAGTGAGTAGGAGTTCCCTGGCAGAGGCTATATACGCGTGGCCATGTAAAAGAATTGGGAGAGGGAAAGTGGACTCTCCCCACTCCCGGCCGTACCAGGACATTCGGGAGGGGGGGTGTTTTGATAATCAAACAGAGCAATGCTTGAGAATGAGTTTCAAGTTAGCCTGCTTTGTACGGCCAACATGATCTTCTATTTGCAAAAACAAGTATACATGTCGATATACATTGATATCGCCCAAAGCAAAATCTTGTCTTTTCATACATTCACGAATCATTGGGGAACTAGAAGGGGTAATTCGAAGTTCAACGGCATAAAGTGCTTTATTTTCAAAGACTTCAAAATTGTATTTTCTTCAGGATTACTGTCGTTGTATTTCCTTTAAACTGAATATTCATGGAAAGGATCTCCTTTAGCACTACAGACTTTTTATTAGTCGTTATTATTCATTGTATTCAGAAGACTGCAGTTTATTATCTACTACCCCAAATTCTATTCCGAATTAAAGAACAATTATCGTAGCTGAGATATTAATCGTCAGAATGTCAAATAATAATAATATTAGTGTGAAAAGAGATTTCTTCTCTGAAATAGTTATCTTTGTCAATAAAATGCTCATAAACTGTTCTGAATATTTTTAAACTGTACTTTTCCTCAGGTACTGGTAAAACACTGTTAGCCAGAGCTCTTGCAAATGAATGTAGTCGTTTAGCTCAAGGTAGCAATGATAATAATAATAATAATACCGTAAAACAACGTCGTCCTATTGCGTTTTTTATGCGTAAAGGAGCAGATTGTTTATCTAAATGGGTTGGTGAATCTGAACGTCAATTAAGATTACTATTTGATCAAGCGTATCGAATGCGTCCTTCTGTAATTTTTTTCGATGAAATTGATGGTTTAGCTCCTGTTCGATCTTCGAAACAAGTAAGTTCGTAGTCAATTTTCCACAGATTTTTAAGAATCTATAAACTTAAGATATGACAATCAAATAATTTTCAAAAGCATTTTGTACCACTAAAAGTTATCTGTTTACTAACGGCTAATTTTGAAAAGTAGTTTTTAAAGTTTCAGTGAGAATTTGTGATTAGTTGACTCTAACTTTTTCTCATGTAAGTCACTTTAAGATGGCTGTGTAAGATCACAAACTGAGTTAAGTTGGAAATCTAAACCATTAGTTGGCGACTCACTGGACTGAAGATTAAGCACTCACCGTGAAACCTAAAAGTCCCTGGTTTCTACCTTTGACGTATGGTCATACACCACTAAGAATTATTGTACTACCAGGAAATATCTGTCCAGTGCCTCCTGGTTTTCAATGGTTGTCTAACTAGAGTTCAGTCCATTATGTAAACCACAAAGTTCAGCTGTCTTCATTACCCCTCCCATTCATACTAACTATTCTAAATGGTTTACCACCATGAAATACCATCTTCAGTAACTTAGTCGTGTTTTACTCATTTCGCTCTCGGTGGTTGTCAAACTTGATGATGATATGTGTACATACATTAAGTAAGAATAGCACGTTCTCTTTGGTATCTGTCAATTCATCACGATACAGTTGGTCTTAAAAACAGTCCTATCACATACATGGTTAACAAAAAGATATTCTTGATGCTCATATTCTAGTTGACCGGTATGTATATCACAAAAATTGTTTAAATATTTTACCTCATGACAGGAAACGACATTAAGTAGTTTAACATAAACTAACTAATGGCTGAATAGTTAAGAAAATCCCTTTTTTTTCTAGGTTTATCATGATTATTGGAAGTAGAATTGATGTTTTTATACCTTTCTCTGTCTCGGTTCCTCTCCTATTTTTTAAGGATCAAATTCATTCCAGCATTGTTTCCACTCTCCTCAGTTTAATGGATGGTTTAGATAATCGTGCTGAAGTTGTGATTATTGGTGCAACAAATAGACCAGATGCTATTGATCCGGCCTTACGACGTCCTGGACGATTTGATCGTGAATTCGTATTTACATTACCAACAGAGGCAGTTCGACGTCGTATACTCGATGTGATTACTGCAAAATGGGACTCAAAACCAGATTCATTGGTAAGTTCACTCTCTGAGTAGATGTGAGATAGGATAGAAGGGGGGGGGATGATTGTATTCATAAGAAATCAAGATGTTGCGCAACTCAGACAATAGATTATGATCACCGCAATTCTTGAATATCCCTGTTTCGATTTCTGGTTGTGTTATGTGTGCATGCTGCTGAAGGATCCCCATACCAGGACGAAACTTCCGTCCACTATTCATTGGCTCTTAATGCCACCCTAATTGAGATCAATCGATAACGTATAAATATTAGATTATTGATTATTCATCTTCTATTTTATCTTTGTTTACTACAGTTGACAGTGACATCCTAGAACGATTCTAGAAATGATCTTGAAACTAACCGATCAGCTATCAGCCAGTTAGAATACAGCTGTTGTAAATTAATTTCATCATTCAAAATAAAAAGAATAAAATTTCATAGAATCTAGAGTTTTAGAATTTTAAGGTGATAGAGCCTAATCCTTACTGTACCCTAAAAATCAAAATTCATGTTGTACAGCCAACTTATGTATCACAAAGAAGGATAAAATCATAAGGGATATGGAATTTGAACATGATCTTTTTTCATCAAAATGTATCCTCTCTAATAGATTTCTTTCCCCAACCTTGTACATCTCTTCATGTCGTTCTCTGGTCGTAGTTACATTAGATACTATTCCTTAGTAATCCAGAAATCTATAAGTGATTGGCGACTATATCTTCATGAAAATTAGTCAAAATACAAAATCTAATAAAAAATAGTGGTTCCTCGTTGCAGATTAGGTTTATTATTTATTTATTTAAACACGTACATATTTGTACAGAGGGACCGAATACGTATGCACCACACTTCATTCGATTTATATGAAGGCTTGGATACTACTCGGGTTCCCATACCAAAACAGGTGGTCTTCTTAGAAGGTCACTGCCCGAGCCTCTCACCCATAGGTCTAATCCACAAGGCAATGGAGTAACGTCAGGAGGTGCAGATTCATGATAGCTGGTGCCTGGTCCTACGTTGTAGCTGACTGACTGGTGAACAAAAATCGGTTCATACACCATTTGTTCTCTCAGGATCTTGAAGCTTATATGCAACATTGATTTGGAATGAGGGTTTGCCAACTCCCCTAGCTGAATTGTGTATGTCCACCAACCCGATCAAAGCACCGGGTATTCTCTTTTCATCCTTTCAATTTCGTAAACAACACTTCCACCACGAGAATGCGGTTAGTAGGATTTATCTGTCAGTGGTTGTATATGCGTGGCCATACGAGAGTATTTCGAGAGGGTTAGCTGATTCACACCACCCTTAAACGTACCAGGGCATTTGGGGGCCCAGATTACATGTGATTACAGTTTAAATAATCTGTCTTCACACTAACAATCGCTATTTCCACTCTGATTGATAATTTCTATTCGTTTCAAGGCTTCCACGGTAAAGTTAAGTTCTGCTCAAATTCAATACTTTTCTTTTGTTCGTTCGTTTTTTTTTTACTTCATTTTCCTTCTTTCCCAACAAGTTACTTGATCAAATTGCTGCAGCAACGATCAATTTCTCCGGTGCTGATCTCAAAGCATTAACTACAGAAGCATGTTTATGCTGTCTACGTCGATGTTATCCTCAAGTATATAGTAGTCAGGTGAAATTAGCTTTGGAACATAAATATTTAGTGGTAAGTTGTACTTTTTTGGTAATTGAATGAATTACTGTGTTTTTGTTTGTTAAAGATTTCTATATATGACTATTTTGTTTCACACGATTACATAACGTGAAACGTTTTGGCATTTATTGAGAAATTCAAAGTATATTTCACGGAATCGGTCTCCCACATTGTACAAGCATTCCTTATACCTGAATTAATGGCTGATCTGGTTGTCAGGATGGGCATCAGCCTCGTGACTTCCGAAGGAATTCGGCTTTCACCATGAGGCGTTACAACTCTTCTAAATGAAGACCTTCTAACTCGCAAAGCAGAGTTTAAATGGATTGGATTATTTTTTTCTGGTTAACGTTTTTTAGCGAGTTAGTTTTCTACGGGATGGGGTCGCTAACTCCATACCCAACTGGCAGCAACCCCAAAGGGGCTTCAATTCCTCATTTGAAATCCTTAAGGCCAAAGGAAGAGAGGAAAACCAAAGAACACATTACGCCGAGAAATAGAGATAGACATGAGAAGAATGAACAAAAATGGGATAGAACTACAAAGAAAGGCCCAGCACGGAGTGGGTTGGAGAATGCTTGTCGGTGGCCTAGTTTTCAAGAGAACAGTTTACGAATTTCGCAATAATGTATATATATAGTCATGATTCAAAGATGACTTTTCACTTATATTATTTATTCTTCCCTTTCTTTTCTCTATTTTTTAATTTTCAAAAGGTCTCTCATTCTGATTGGTTTGAAGCATTACAAATTGTTCATGCATCAAGTGAACGTTTTGATAGTGATGTATCAGCTTCAAATTTAACACCATCAACAAATGCATTATCTTCTACTATACGTACACCATTATCCCCGACATTAGCCAAGTTATTATCACATCATGTTAATAAAATTGTAAATTATATAACACGAATATTATTATTGACCAATTCAAGAAAGTTTGGTTCCTTGAGTAATAATAATAAAGAATTATCATCATCATCACCGTCATCATCAACAGGGATTGTATATGATAATGTTTCATCGTGTATTATCAAATCGAAATTATTCATTCATGGTAATATATCTGAAATTATTATGAATGCTGTATGGCATAGATTAGAGGCATTACATGTAAGTGAGATTAATTTCATAAATTAATTATTAATATATGCTATCTTTTACGCATCTAATGATGACATCGAAGGTAAATGATGAATTATCTGGAATGAACACCTTGTTTTGTATTTATTCATTTAAGAAACCGGGTTTCCAAATGCCGTGGTACGGCCGAGAGTGGGGAGAGTTCGCTCTCCCTCAAAAAATGCTCTCATATGGCCACGTGTATACAACCACCACCAGGAAAGTTCTACTAACTGCCTTCTCCTGGCGAGGGTGTTGTTTACGAAATTGAAAAGGCAAAAAGCGAATGTTCGGTGCTTTAACCGGGTTGATGGATACGGACGGTACACCTAGGGGAGTTGGAAAACCGTGATTTCACACCACTGGTGCACATGATCTCCAGTATCCTGAAGGAACAAATAGTGTATGAACCAAGTGTTGGTCAGCGGCTGCCATGGGTCGGCATCTCCCGGCGTTGTTCCACTGCCTTGTGGATCAGATATTTAGGTCGAATGCTCGGAGTGTGGCCCCCTATGATAACCACCTGGTTTGTTCTGAGCACCCGGGCAGTATTCCAGCCGTCACATAAATCGTATAATTTATGTAGCGCATATCTATTCGGTGCGTCCTTGTACCAATGCGTATGTGCTTAAATAAAAAAAATATAAATTCGTATTTATCAATTTGACTGCTCTTGGTCGAAATTCTAGAAAAATTTACATTTTTCGTGCTCATGAACACTTCTCAACATGATTAAGCAAATGTACGCGTGCGTGTTTGTAGGTTGACTAGTATGATACAATCATAGATATTACACATGATTAAAGTTAGAATGTCACAACTCCCCAGTTCGATCTAATTTTCATTCTAGTAGAAGCGAGTTGTCAATAACATCACCTATGTATAATCTTGTGTTAGTATGGGATTTAAATCTGTATCAGTCAGTGTTTCTATTCGTAATGACAGCTCTAAATCACGCAGGAAGAATCAATTCATGGTGACCAGGTCTTGTTGACAGTTGCCTATCATTTTGAAAAAAAGCAAGAACAAACATTCTAGCAGAATAGCATGAATTCATTTTTATTTCGTTGGTTCTATGTGTATGAAATTGCCTATCAATATGAAATCTTTATTAATTAGCATATCGTACTGGTTGTTTCTTATCGCTAACCTGCGCTAAAACAGTTCACATGCGTTATCAAGTTATCAAAGACTTTAAGACTACTTCCCTGTTACATAACGACCAACCTGTAATATGTAGAAAGTGTAAGTTTTCATGGTATAAAAGTTATAGTCTCTTTGGTTTTCTGTGCAAATATCTTTTACTGTTTGGTTTAAACTCTTCATTTGGCCTATTGCAAAACCTCTAATCTGTCTCTGAGACACCTGAACACATTGACATAAATACTTGTGACTGGAATTTTTCTCAACCTAAGTCAACCAATGCTAGAACGTCAAATGTTTTTGTTTTAATGAAGTATTCCAATCAATCAGTATTTCAATCAATTATGACTGAAGTCTCCAAGCGAACAGTTTAAGAATTTCGTAATGATAATTTTTGGTTTTGGTTATGGTGTCAAAGGTGAATTCCAAGAATTAATATTTGTCTTCGAGAAAGATAATCATATGTTACTCCTACTTCCTAATTATTAGAGGTTTGTTAGTCTATAAACTCTTTTAGGTGATAGGCTGAGATAATTGTCACAAAAAGATTGATAACGATTTAAGTTTATCTGTTGCTTGTTACTTGTTTGCAGGTTATATCTGTCGTATTAACAAGACGGATGTTGTTTCTTGCTGTTAGTAGTATGGGCATTTGTCACTTCCTGGTTGCCTATACCACGGAAGTATATTTTTTCTTGAAGGATCTTAAATGGAAACTAGGTTAACAGTGATCATGATAACCTAGCAACCTAGTCGCAGTGCTTGATTGGCAACTACTGAAGGTCGATCACACAAGTTCTGCTTATGGGAATTTTTTGATGTGTTAGCTCCATACTTTAAAATCCCTTAACACTACAAACGAAAATCCGTATGGCAAGGTAAAATCTTGGGATTGGGCTTCCCTAACTCTCCTCTTCCATTGTAAAACGACGTTATCTCTAGAGACACTGGTTATCTGACTGACACATCTTACTACAGTTGCATCTTTGTATACTTGACAGTAATTTGTCTTCGCCACCGGATCACTGATTTGCTTGGATTATCACAATGTCCTAGCTCGACCTCTACCTCAAGGTAGTGGCTCACGGTCTTCATGAGATACGTACTTAAATCATAGTCAGCAAGGCATTATCATCAAGCTATTCAGGTCATTTTTGTCATAATTCACTAGTAATTCAAAGTGTTGTTCACGTCTTAATATGTTTATATATGTAGTTGTGTGTATTTGTTTTTCTCTTTCTACATCACTTTTTGCTACTATCCCTTCTCCTCCTACTGTCATTTTTTCATGTTTAATACCAAGGTATTCACACTTAATTTGGCCAATCTATTTGCATTCCCTACAAGTCTTGGAATGTGTCCAGAAGCGGCTATTGCACAAATTATCTCCTCTATACGACGTACATTAAATAGTTCTTCTTTAACAACATTCAACATGAAATCTCAATTAATCAATGGAATTGTTATTGTTTATCTACCATCAATTGATGTACTTCTTCATAGTTTACCACAATTAACTGCTTCTTATCTTGTTGATAGATTAAATGCATTAGTAGATGAAATCAATTGTGAATTGAATTATATTCCTTCAACACTCAACAATTCTGATCATTTAGAGGGCTCTTTAAACAACAACAACAACAACAATAATAATAATAATCGATTACAATATGCTACCATGAAAACTTCACGTCGATTAATCATTATTGGAACGTGTACAAAACCACAACAACAATATTCTAATTGTTTCCCTCCAAGAATTGTTCCACCTGTTAACATAGAAAAACCTAATTCACCTATTAAACAGTGCAATAATAATAATAATACGAGTACAACCCATGATAATTGTGTATCAATATTTCCTAATTTAATTGGAAAATCAAATGGTAATATTTCTGTCTTATAATTTTTGTATTGAAAATAACCCCCCTTTATTTATGAGTTAATTCACTGATCGATCAATTGGTTGAGATTGTTAATTTGATTAGATATCATTGTAACTAACTTTGTGATTAATTCAAAGAAGTCTTGGTGTGAATTAATGATTGATGATGGTTGTCGATCAATCATTATATCACCAGGGTCTATTTATGATCATTGAATGATCTCTGTACTGTATGAAAAGTCGATTAAATTAGTATTGGGAGATTTGTGGAGGTTGCAGAATTTTCATAGTTTAAATCACGTACTGATCTTGATTAGACTGCTATTGAAAACCTGGAAGGGTTAGACAAACGTTTTGTAGAATGGAATCCCTCAGAAGTGCGCATCCGCGATCTTAAGTTTGGGAGTCGAACCTTGAATTTCTTACGTGCAAATGGTTGATATCTTGACCATTGAGAGAGCATTCAACAGTGCGCATGTCTAACTGCAATCAATTTACGATATTGCACGACTGTCATTCATTGCCTATGGTGCTTTCAGGTTTTCATTTGTGGTCTTATTAAAATCTGTTCGTGATTTAAACTGTGAGTATCGATTAAAATTAGAAACATAGTCTCAAATGGAGAAGTAGTGAATCTGTTCAGCGATGCTTAATTTTCAGTCGGTCGAAATTGATTCGTTTTTGAAAATGAACTTTCCAGAAGCGGAATAAAAAGAAAAAGGTTAGTCGAAGAGATGTAGTATTAACATCCGACTAGTCACTATGGAGTGATCACTGTCATGTTTGTCTAGTCCTTTAGTGCTGATTGAATTCTGTCGATCAAATTGCATTGTTTCCAATAGTTTAAGTGACTTGAAATCGTTTGCACTAAGTTAGGTAATTGGAGGTAGTCAGTATGAAACCCTCCTCGACATAGATTTCACTCTAGTCGACAGTCACCATCATGTATACTAACTATCTCCAATCACATTGAATCAAAACTTTATACACGCCATATTGAGTCACTTAGACTAACAACTGAACTGGAGCTTGATATAATTCAATCAGCACTATAGATTAGACAAATATGACACTAGGTTCTAGTCCGTAATTAATCAATGTAAATGGAGGTCACTCTCAGCCCAACTAGCTTAATGAATAATATCTCTGACTATATGATTGTTGTTAAGCTTTATTATAACTCGTGGCAGTTACCATGTTTTATTTATTTGAATACATAAATGTTGGTACAAAGGGGAACGGAATACATATCCGCCACGCAAGTCACGTGATTTATGTGTGGTCTGTGATACTGCTCGGGCACCTAGACCTATGAGACCACTGCCCTAGCCTATCTCCTAGAGGTCTAATCCACAGTGAGATGGAGCAACGTCAGGAGATGCAGTCCCATGGAAGCCCGGTGACCAATAATTCGTTCGTACGCCATTTGTTTCCTCAGGATCCAGGAGCCCCATGTGCATGATTGGTTTTGAATCAGGGTTTTCCAACTTCCCCTGGTGGATTCTCTCTATCCATTAACCTAGTTGAAGCACCAGACATTCGTTATTTGTCCTCTCAATTTCACAAACAACACTTCCACCACCAGAAGGCAATGAACAGGACTTCTCTGTCAGTGGATGTATACGCGTGGCTATGTGAGAGCATTTGGAGTGGGATAGCTGATTCACACCACCATTGAACGTACCAGGGCATTTGGGGGCCTGAAATTTAAGTTAGGTTAAAAATAGTAGTTAATATGGAGCTTTGTCTATAAAATACCCGACTGTGTGTAACGGAACATTGTACTCCCTCTACATAGTTGATGAACTCTACTGGTCACAACTTTTTACTAATATACGGAGGAATTACTTCTTTTCTTCTCGACAGTTTAATCACAGTGTACTAATGAGTTGTAAGAACGTGATCCAATGTACACATGTGTCAAGTTCTACGTTACATTTAACTGACAACTGATAGTAAAAATAGATATACATATATAGCAATATATATATATATCAAACCTTATTAACACTATTCATTCTTATTTTTATGTTTAAAATAAATATTTATATTTAGATGTAAACTGTCGAGTCACTAGTGGTATGAATCTCATCGATAAATCTATATCATCATCACCACATTCATTGCATTTAAGATCTTCACCATCTTCGATCGTTCCCAATACAATGCATAATAATAATAATATTAATAATGATTTTAGTGGTAATACTACTAATAATAATGGTACTACTACTGTTGGATTGAATGAACACTTAATGAAATATACATATGACCATGATTTAAATAGTATTAAATTTCAATTTACTATTCAATTACCAGAATGTCATAAATCATTATCTAATGCTAAAATGAATTCTTACATCACACCAACATCATTAATGAATACAGATTTTATTACAGATAATAAAGGGAATACTACTACTATTCATGATACTACTACTACTAATAACAATAATGATACTACTCATAATTACTTATTGGATTATACAGATTTAGATAATGATTATTTAAAAAATATTGATAATTCATTATATATAAATCATATATTACATAAAATATTCAATAGTAATCATACAGAATTTATGCATTTAGAATTACCTAATAAAGAGGAAAGATTAGCATTTTTTACATCAGTTATTATTAAATGGCCTCAATTAACATCAATGGAATTATTAGATATACGTGATAATAAATCGATTATTCAACAATTATCTAATACACAAATGTAAGTTCATATTAATATCCTGTTTTGTGTTTATTTATTGTAAAGTAATATGAAATTTTCCCGAAGTGTTTGAATAATTGGATATATTATCTGAATTCATGTTTAATGAATGAGAATTGAGATGAAGTTCTGTATACACCTTTGCGGAGCCGGGAATGGAGTCATTAGTTGGTATGGTGTTGGATGCAGGAAGGATATGTTGAATGAAGTGTTCGGTCGGGGCGACGTTATGTGTAGCAGTCGCTGCCGACGGCGAGATGCGGGACATCCTGATGAATGCCAGGTGGACATCAGAGTAAGATGATCGGCAGGTCTATAGAGCTATGGAGTTTATCGCACCGGCGGAACTGATATACCGACCGATAGCGTGACACTGCGAGCAGAACAACTGAAGAAGTGATCGTTTAAAGGGGGGACTAGTGTAGTGCATACTATTTATGCCGATAGATATAGGTAGTATGTAACACTAATTGAAAGTGGAATGCCTGGTAGCAGAATATTGAGAAGATTGAATCGAAAAGAACAGGAAGGGAAACAAAGCTATTGTAGTAACAACAGAAATGAAGGAATCATGAATCACTTAAAGTACAACTTAAGGACGATGTGCAAATAATGTATTTAATGTAGCTTTCATATTTTACGAAGACATCGTAATTTCGCATTAAACAATAAGTTGGTTTTCCCCAATTGAGTTCTCATTCATTACATGAGTACTAGGTAGGTAGTAGGTGTACTTCATAGAATGAGTGAAATATACATTTTATCATTAGTAGATTACTGAATTTGACCGTCCAGTATTGTTATCATCACGGAAAACGAATGTCTGACCCTTAAACCGGGTTGGTGAGTACGGTGGATCCACTTAGGAGAGTTGGAAAACCAATGATGTATCTCAACAGAATTGATTAGCAAGTCTTATCATGATAAACACAGATCGTACGTTTATATACTGGACTAAGTTCATGACTAAGTACATATTCTACTTCCACCAATAGCGTGCTTCGTCTCTAGTTTATTAGCCATTGTTTAATCTTGAGGTGGAGCTGAGCCCTTTGGTTTCTACTAAGGTACACGGTATGCATAGACTCGCAGAGCCTATCAGTAGTACGTCAAGTCAATAATGCTAGTTAAGCATAAAATCTCGGTAAACGTATTTGACGAATATTCACAGCTTTGTCAAATGACTTGTTAACTCCAGAATTGTTCATCTGACGGTTTGATCCTATACACGTGTATTTCACGTTTGGATATATAGTTTTAATAGTTATAGAGTTGTGTAACTTTTTGATATTAACTCGCTTACCAAGTACAGATTTGTGTACTTAACTTCCAGCTACTACTGTGTGTAAGGCTCGAGATGCTACTTAGTCGTTCAAGCCTGATTCAGGTGGAATGGAATTCGAGCTTGGTATTTAGTGGTTGTAGATCGAATTGCTTAACTATTAAGCCAAATCTCTACCTGATGATAGATACCCATATGAGAATCTAACATATATAAGCAAATACTTCCATTAGTAAAAGCCTGGGGCGCTTTTCATACCGTCGTTGATATTTGAACAGCCACCAACAACCAACCCAATTCACCCACTGAGAGCCGATAAAAAATCTGGAGACTAATATTTTGCTTAAACTATGTCGAATACAATCTATCAATATTATGAATATTTATCCACCCATCAATACATTAACTCGTTTTTCCTTCCTCACTTTTTCTTTTTTTTGTTGTTTGTTACAGACCTAGTCCACAACCAGCTGTTGAAAAAGATGATGATGATGTTTCCGGAAAGTATATGAAAGATCGTTATCCAGTAAATCTTTCCCCTGAAGAATTAGCTATTATTGAATCTAGGGAAATGCAATTATTTCGTCGTCTTCGACAAATTCTACGTAGAGTTGTTGCACATTTAGCAAGTTTTCGTCGTTTCACCGTATTCACTAGACCAGTTCAATTAGATGAAGCACCGGATTATTATGATGTTATTAAACAACCAATGGATTTAGGTCTTATACGTGATAAAATTGATTCACATCAATATACTAACGTAACTGATTTCATGAAGGTAATTCTGAGTGTTTTTTTGTTTTATTTTCCAAAAGTTTAAAATTTTTATTTATAGTACGTGCTGAATATATCGAAGCGTCCCAATTGTGAGACGCACGAAATCGAATTTCACAGATGTACTATTTGTCTGAAAAAGCGGTTGTTTATGTACTTCAACTTGTGAGTTGTCTGTGACGTTCTCCGCGTCTTTTTGTCTAAAATAAAAAGGTACTTCGATAGTATAAATGACAGCCGTTAGCTGTTTCTATGCTTGATAACGGTTAGCCAACAAGCAAAAATTGTCCATACACGTAGAAATTGCTAGGAATACAACTATTTACTGAATATTAATAAGTAGTATAAAACTACACGAAAGTTTTGAAGGGAAGTAAATAAGGACGGAGAACGTAAAACAGACTTAACAGTACATCTATCAGGGATCAATTGAGGCTAGACTTGTATCTCGTCGAATACCAGTTTAGTTGTCTAAAGATCAAACGTTCTTTCATATCATCGGAGGTCTTGTGTTCAATTCGTAGTTGCTAAGTCGTGGGTACGCACTACTGAGGAGTTCTATACGAGGTCGAAACGGTTATTTAGTGCTTCTAGGTTCCGAATGGTTGTTCAAATTAGATCGGTTCATGATTTCTATGATAACTACCATACCCAACTAAGATGATTTACTCCAAAGTTACACACTGAAAAGTGTGCGTCGTGCATCAATGATAACGGATACTAATAAGGGCAATCTCGATCTTCTTCACTGATCTTTATCACTCACTTTAACTTGTCCTGGTACCTCTTGGTACTTTTTTCTACTGTCAATAGATGCGTACAACAATCTGTTCGATTTTTAAGTCTTTTAAAACGTTCCTTGTTTAGAGCATCTATGAATGTTTACGTGCTTGGATGAACAACACCAATTAGTTAATAAAAACATGTTAACACCTCTGTTGAAAAGTGTCTAAAGGTTAATGGTTATCCATGGAAGGTAATCAGTAAATATGAGAGGATAATAATGATAGTAACGGAGTGTGCCACAATGAACAAAAAATCTGATTTCGCTCGACTTGGTTTAATATATACTGAAGTATCTGGCAAGGTTGAGCATAGACTAAGGGTTTAATTGAAAAAGACTTGTCCAGCAGCAAAACTAGTCTCAATATAACAAACAGGGTGCTCGTTTAGACCTTCAAATGTGGATAAGTACTCACCTTATGTTACCTCCAGTTGTGTATCCCGATTTGTGTGTGGGTGCTGAAGCACATACACTGAGAGAGCAAAAAGGAAAGTTAATGTTCACTCAGTTTTATACACACACTCGTTGGAGGATACCGCTACAATGAGTTCACTAACATAGTTTCTGCACAACCTGAAAAAAGCGTTTACTCACAAATGTCAAATGACTTTCGATTTATTTGTTACGTTTATCCCACCATTTTTCTTACCGTTTCGAAACCTCAACATGTTGTTCAAAAGTACAAACTCAATAACATGTCATTTAGCAAATTATCATTACACTATGGCTTATCATAAAAAGTTATTAAATTGCAGTTTGGTTTGTTTTTTTTCTTCGCTTTTATTTTTGTCTGCATACTTTACAAGGATGTAGAATTAGTCTATCTGAATGCATTGGAATATAATCCACCGAATATACCACGAAGTCGAGATATTCGTTCTAGGGCATCTGAATTTTGGGATGAAGCATGTTTACGCATGGAAGAAGAATTGCAACCTGTTGATTTGAATGAATTATGTGAAGAGGTATGTATATCACAATTGTTATTGCTTCTGTCTGTACTCCATAGCACACTACATTACAATCATTTACTAATCATTAAAAATCTTAAATGATATACCAGTAAAATATAGTTTTTTTTACTGGTAGTTTTCAGTCGATTAGGTAGTTAGGGTTAGTCGACAGGAAGTCCTGCTCAATCTAAGTGTCGTGTTGTTTGAGAAACATTCATGAGAAATAAAGGAGCACTTGAGGTGGGTTTAGCGTCCGCTTTAAGATTTGAACACGTGTCATCCAGCTTCACATTTTGATGAGTTGTTACTACTGAGCTGTTTGATTGTTGACTACTCTACGGAAGGGTTGAGTTGTTTACACTTGATTAGTTACTGAGCATTGTCATGTTTATTTCGTATCTTCAGTGCTGATAGGATTCTGTCAGTGAATTTTCAATGTAGCTACCAAACTGAATGACTCGTGTGGTGTGTTGAGATGTTAGTAGCATTGTATAAGTTACATAGATTTTTACTGAAACACACTAAGAACGTTCTCTTCAATTTGTTTCTTTATAGATTGACAACTATGTGTACTTTTCTTTAAAGTTGTTGTTTACGTGTGTGTGTGCTGAATTTAATGTATGCGTTTAAATTGCAATTGATTGTAGGCAACTCAAGCACGTGCAGCACGTTTGTCTCATGCCCAACTAACTAAAACTTCTTCGACCTCGGTGAGTCATTCAAAAGTCAAAGGATCAGAGCATCAGTGCTTCAAGGGGACGGATCAAACATCTCAAGGGACTGGTGTGAAGCCATCATTACCTCTTCCACAAGGTTATCGTTATAGTCGGAGGTTGCATGTAAGTGTGAAGATAGTGATCCTAATGGGATAAAAAATGGAAAATGTAATGATTTATAAATTGGCTTATTTAAGATCTTTAGGGAACTTTTGTATGCAAGTTTTTTGATCTTCTCTTGCCTTTTGTTGGTCCTTACATTATTGATGGATATATTAGTTATTCATGAGAAAATTACCCTATGATCCTGACATTACTCTATTATGCCTGGCGATACGCAACCGCTGGACACAACCCATAAGTGCGATGATGTGCTCTGGCTTGGGCTTCCAAGGCCACTACCATCTTGAGTGTCATACAGTTGTGTTTTCCACGCATTATACATGTTATCCGAATTGGACACCACCAATCCGCCAAGAGGAACTTCGTGAATTCAACGAGATGAATCGTTGAAACCGTCGGATTGGAATGATTGTATATAAATGGACTCAATACCAATTCCACTATCGCTCACACGAGCATAAAAATAACTAACAACCGTGTCGTATGGTGATCGCAGCCTTTGTCGTACTTGCTTACTTTTCAATCTCTGTTTTACATACCAAGCCGATCTGGCCCACATACTGAAGTTTCTGTATGACATACTGCTTTAGTACCGCCATTCGTTGAATTGCTGATAATGGAGAGTCCATGATCTTCCTTAACACAGTCATCGTAATTATAGGTTTTTGTATAATACCATGATAATTGAACCATATACCTAGGTACGCAAAATAATCAGTCACACTGATAGAGTATAAAGGAAACCCCCCAATCTCATAGGTCTGATAAACGACACAGTCTTCGCCGTTAGCCGTCAACTTTAGGCTACTTAGTGATTTCTATAAGATCATCATGCAGTCAGTGATGAGCTTCTGCAAAAATTAGATTTAGATAAACTTTTGTTTATCCCCCTTTACATTCAGGGTGAATCACCTATTCTAGAACTCAGTGATATTCTTCAATTACAGTCATCGAACAGGCGTCGTCGTACGACTTCATCTAATTCTTCTTTAAAAAGTCCATCAAAGTTACAATCAAGTGAATTAGACTGTGATATTGATACATGGTCATCTCCCGGAGTAAGTTAACAAATAAATTGTGACTTTTGAGTTATTCTTTTTTATGTATTTTTCCATGATTTAAAACAACTCAATAAATCTTTCTAACAATGAAATAAAGGATTTGTGGAGGTGCTCATGTTAACTAACTCGAATAGTAGCGTGATGTGAGCTGCTTATATCCACATAAGTAGTATATAATGATAGTCAGGAATAAAATGTATTTCGGTAAAAGATCGAGAAGGACTCATTTTCTCCTTCTGTTATGAGAAAGCATCACCATTCGAGATGCTCATTATTTGAGGGTAACACCTTACTTCTGTCACACCCTTAAACCTTAGGATTGATTCTTTTATAGTTACCATCCTCCAACCTACGGACTTGACATCATAAGACCCAAAGGAACGAGTGTTGTAGTTCTATTACGTCATCACTGTTGAGAATCCAAATAATCACTCCAAGGTTAAAAAAATTAGAGAGTATAACTCGTCTTCACATTTAATATATTACTAAAAACAATGACTGATAGAAAATCCATCCCTGAATATATCAACAACAGGATGTAAATATCATACCCATCGAACAAATTCATGGTTATTTATACTCCTTAGCCTAATGTGTACCGTAAATCTAACGGACGAGTCTTATACATGGGAAAAAGATGCGTATTATGAATTCCGCTGCTATTCAACATATATCTCTTCTTAGTGGATTAATTTCCCACTATTAACTATAAACCTCTTTTTGGACGTTTGTGTATGTGTATGACATTTTTATTCACTTCTATATCGTAGTTTTCTCTTTTCTTATTCAATTAAACAGCCTACTTTGATAAAATCATTTGAAGAAAATGAATCTGAACCTTCTCAATTGACATCTAATGAACAGTGTATGTTTTACTCAGTAATTATTATTATTATTATTATTATTATTATTATTATTATTATTATTATTATTATTATTAATCACTGGTTACAGAATAGATCAACTCAATTGTAACCAGGTGGATGTCCATGTATTAGGGCTTTTATGCTGTAAATGTATATTGTATTTGTGATAGTATTGACAGTCGAACTTCTTTGAGAAAAGCGCAGATGTTATCATTTCATATCATACTACCTTAATGTGAATACTGGTTATATAGGACAGGTATTTGTGTGTTGATCCATCACTACTTCCCACTTGAGGTTCTAGATATAATGATTTCATACAATGACTTATAACGTTATCAAGACGTGTTTATTTATTTATTTATTTGAACACATAAATATTGGTACAAGATAGCGCCAATATATATGCGCCACACAAAACAATGAGAATTCGAAGAGAAATAGGAAAAAAAAGAGAACAATAACGAAGAGATTGGTGTAAGGTAGTGTGGTAGTAATGAGGGAACGCAAAGGTTCACTCAGAAGAAATCTTTCAGATAAGGGAGACACAACCACTTTTTATGAAGAAAGTAAAAGAAGGTTACAGCAGGATCGCCACTGGCTTCTATTCTGAGCCATATCTGATAACGTCTCTAGCCACTGTGTAGCACCATCTCTCAGACCCCAACCAGGGAGTCGTGAAGGACCAACAGAAGCCAGTCCTTTGCAACTTTCTTTCATACCACGACACCATATCATGCACTGACCACCTCTCCGCTTCTTCCAACCAGTCCTAGAGTCGGCAAATAATGCACGACGTGGAATTCTCTGAGACGACATTCGGAGAACATGTCCAAGTCACCGAAGTCGGTGTTTCAAGATGATGACACCAATTGAGTTATCATCTCTGTGTCCGAACACACGATGCCGAACCTCTGCATTACTGACATGGTGTTGCCACTGAATGTCAGCAATCCTTCGGAGACAGTGATGATCGAACACAGAGAGTCGTCTAACGTCCTCAACTCGGAGAGACCAGATTTCGCAAGCATAGAGCAAAACTGCTCTCACCGACGCGTTGTAGATCCGACCTTTTACGGCCAGACTAACATCACGAAGGCGCCAAAGGTGGCCCAGATTGGCATAAGCCGCTCTGGCTTTTACTATTCGTGCATTGATCTCATCACTCACACCCCCACCAGCACTTATGCAGCTACCCAGATACACGAACTTCTCGACTACGTCTATCTGCTCACCATCCAGGGTGAGTACAGGATTAGAATCCTGCCAGTCTTGTAGAAGTACTTTGCACTTGGAAGGTGCAAAGCACATACCATACCTACGGACACTGATTGCCAACTGATTAAGTGCGGATTGCGTGCCTTGAGCATTATCGCACAGTAAGACAATATCGTCCGCATACTCAAGGTCGAGAAGTCTTTCTCCAGGCAACAGATCCACACCACCATTACTTACATTCATCAGAGCTGTTTCCAGAATGTCATCGATGGCAAAGTTGAAGAGGAATGGTGAGATTGGGCAATCCTGCCTAACCCCACTGCTCGAATGGAACAATGGAGAGAGGTGGTTGCATGCCCTCACTCTGCCTGATGTGTTTTTATATAGGGCTTTTAGGATGTTAATAAACTTCTCAGGCACACCCTTCTTCAATATACAATCCCAGAGAACAGCCCTGTCCAACGAATCGAAGGCAGCCCTGATATCAAGAAACACTACGATTGTTGGCCTTTGAAAAGTATGGCGGTGTTCTAACATTTGGCGTGACTTTGAATAAAAGAGTCAGTAGCAGTACTTATTAGCACAATAATTTTCAAGCCTTCTTTAATATTGCGTCAGTACTCATAGTTAGAATTTATGGTTACTAATTGTTGGGAAGATCTAGGAAACTTCTCGAAAAAAGCTAAGAAAGGCTCTGAAAACACTGAGAAGCATCTTATCCAATAAGTATTCACTAGAAGTCACATGTCGAATTTTTGATTGGAGAATTACTTATATTATGTTTATTAGCATTCCAGAATTTTTCGATAATCCAAGGCCAACTAAAATACTTTACAAACTAGATTTTTCGCACATAAACGAACCTTTGGTATATAAAGCGTTTCTTCCATATCTCGCATCTTTTCTCCCGTGTTTAAGTTGTTTTGTAAATCTAGTCTAGTGGTTACTAGAAGAGCTTGAGAACCGAATCTAACGTTCACTTAGAAGACTTATCACTAATCATTTCAAATTAGTCTAAAACATGCATGTTAATTACAATAATTCTATCGTTGTAAAAATAGGTAACTCCATTTTGTTTTTAGTTTATGGGTTGTGGAGATTGTTAGGTTTTTTATTGAGATCGTGAACCGATTGATGTTAGACCATCATTAAAAACCTGGAAGCACTGGACGGCCGTTTCATCCAATTGTAGGACTCCTCAGTAAAGTGCGCATCCACGATCCCGCTCTCGGGATTCGAACCCAAGGCTTTCAGTCTTTGGTGAGAAGCCGTGACCAGGGCAGCTAACCCGTGTCGGCTAGAAAGAGTTGTCTACCTCAGTACAATGGAAGATAGTCGCGCAACTTCGTGGACTGGTTGAGGTTAGACATTAACACCGTTTGGTTTTCATGGATAACAAGTGAACCAATGCAAAATACGATTACATCACTTTTAGTAAACTCTATGCCTTATCATACTCTTAGAATATCATCAGATAAAAACTGAATTATGATTATAAATTATAACTATGTACAATAAAACCACAACTTTTCATATATATATATATATATATATATATATATATATATGTTATTAACCAATCATATTGGGGAACCGATTAAACACTTTATGCTGATTGGTCCACTGAACGAGTAAATTAACCAATAAGATGATTTGTAGGTCATATCGTCACATAAGTCATAGTCGGAGCTGGAGAAACATATGATTGATTACCTATCCCAACTGATACAAGTATTATATATTATACTATCGTGACAATTTGAATAACTGGATTTTTCCAAGATTGTTTTTTTCTCTTGGTTAATAAATTTATCGGTTTATTTGTTGATTATAATTATTTTTTCTAGCGTCAAATTTATTTAAATCACCACTTTCTGAAGATTCATATCATCGACCACGATCCAGTCCAAAATCTCATGATGATCAATTATTTAATCGAACACCATCACCTACTCTTAATATTACTGCCAATACTAATACTAGTACTACTACTCCTACTCCTATTCCTACTAGTACTTGTACACCAATCCAAGTAGATTTGAAAAAGTTAAATCATTTCCTTAATGAAATTGTTCTACAAACTGATGGTTGGCCAACATTACAACTGATCAATTTACATACAGATTTTTCTAATTTAATATTTTGTAAATATGCACATGTTACTGATAGAATGTCATTGTCAGATGTAAGTTGACTTTTAAAAAAAAATCTTTGTATGGGGTGCTTAAAATCTCATTTGGTAGTGATTAGCTTTTTAAAATCACACTAAATTCGATTCATTGGCACTTTAGTAGTGTATTAAGTGATTAAAAATAGGTCACAGGAAACTGTGGTAGACATCGGTTTCATAGTAGTTGGTATTCATCAGGATAGAGCACTTTATGTCTCGAGGGAATTGATGGACTTTTCGGCACTCGAACCTAAATCAAGGAGATGCATGAAACGAAGCTCCGATTACAGGTATCTTTAAGTAACTCACCCATGGTAGTGTCAACTCAATTTTTGAATGAAAAACCTACTAAAAGCATTGGGTAATTATTCTAGACAATTACAGCCAACTTGGTATCCATCATACGTGTTCATCTGTACAAGTTGTCATGCCATGCATTAGCAGAGCATGGTGAAATTAACAACACGTATATAAAAGGAGTTAAATCAATAGTATAACATATATAACTGTCTGAAAAATAACACATGAAGAATCTCGTCTTATAGAAGAGAGTGAGGGAGATAATGAAAAAAATATATTTCTCATTTTACCCGTATCATCCAGAGTGTTTATTTAACCATTAATTACATTTATCATCCTACTTTGGATCAATATTTAATTTGCATTTTGTGATAATTATATATCATTAGATGCCGGTGCTACGAAAATTCAGTGTCCTAGATTCAACCCAGTGTGTTTGTAAATCAGTATGATATCTCCACATTTTCTTTGTTATAAACTATAATGAATCAGTTTGTGTTTCATGTGCAACTCTCCTAGATATAACCATTTTACTAATCACACGTTTAGAATTACATTCGACTGTTAGAGTATGTGGAACGTTAAATACTGCCAGATAGTTTATTATTTATTTATTTAAACACCAAATATGTATGCGCAACACTTCATAATCCGATTTATGTAAGGGGTTGTATGCGGCCCGGACCCCCATTGGCATTGGCTGTATACGCGTGCTCATGTTAAAGCATCTCAAGAGGGATAGATGATTCACACCACCCTTGACCATATCAGGTACTGCCAGATAGGAGGCGATCAATGTAAATATTGTGATGGGAGTGTGTATTCAGTTGATATTAGAGTCCTGATTACAAGACGAAACGTATATTTTAGATTTCACATCTAGAGATAATCTATAAAATATGAAACAATCATCCAGAGGCGCAATAAGTTTTGTTCTTCAAAGTAATCCAACTTTTTTAAAATTTGGTTTTGTTTTTGTTTTTCTCGGTCGATGTTATCCACATGTTTTTCTCAATGTTCAATGGTTGCTCAACACTCTGCTTGCTTGTTGATTTTTCTGATTGTTTCTAAAACCTTATTAACCAGTTTACTGATATGCACTACACTGATGTATGTCTAAAAATGGAATTTCCGATGTATAGAAAAATGATTTCTACTACCACCTACTTATTAAGGATTGAGAAATGTGTTGGATAACCCCAACAGTTTTCTATATGTTAATAGCTGAATTCATAAGTCGATTTAAGCTAGCCCACCATTGAAAACCTGAAAACACTGGACGGCTGTTTCGTCCTAGTACAGGACTCCTTAGCAGTACGCATTCATGACTCTGCACATGGGACTTGAATTCAGGACATCTAGTTTCGCGCTCGAACCCTTAACGTCTAGACCACTTTGCTGGCATTCACCGTTATCTTCAGTACCATCCAGTGCTTCTACGTTGTCTAGTTTGAATTGATTCATGAGTTCAACTATTATAATTCTTTTTAAAAGTTGAGATCATGAGTTAATTGAAGCTACACAACCTTGGAAAACTTAGAAGCATTAGACGGCTGTTTTGTCCTATTATGGTGCTCCTCAGCAGTGCACTATTGTCTTCAGTGAGTTACTATCTCACAACAGACCATGTTGAACTCCACTGGTTATGGTTTGTCACTAGAAGTTCAGGATATACCTCTTGAAGTCAGTCACTAGTAAGCATACATATATTTGTACAGTTTATTTTAATAAATCTAATTGTTTTACTACTATTAACTGTTTTCCTTTCCTTTTCTTTTTCTTGATTATTGATGAATTTGTTAGGATTTTGAGAAGATATTTGCAATTTATCAAAATGCACACTTCTAATTCTCTATAATACACATACCATATTTAGGTGTTTTCTCAGTTCATTATATTAATATTATTATGTTAACATTTGTAAACCTCAGGTAGGTTTAGGTTATTCTATATTTCTATTTGTACATTGGCATTACCAATACTAGATATAATGGCATATATATATATATATATATCATCATATGTGGGCAGCTTTATCATTCTCTAATATTTCCCCATCATGATCACTATCATGTCCACATTCTTCTTTTGATTATATTCTTGTTGTTATTTTTTTGCTCTGCTCTCCTTCTCCCTCCTTTTTTTCCCTCCCTGTTTTTTGCTAATAAGATTTTTTGTTTTGATACAATGAATTAATAAATAGTTTTTGTGTAATGCTTCTTGTTTCTTTTTTACTTGTCCTTCTCAATGTGTGAATAGGCGTTTTATATGTTAAATAGTTATATTTATTTCTTATTTGTAACCATGTTAGGTATTACTATTATTATTATTATTATTATTATTATTATGACTTTTACTAGTGTTATTCTCTTGTTATAATGCATCTATTATTAAACTTATTAATAAATAAGAAGAGAAAGCTGGTTCCCCGAACATAAACACATAACAACGACAACAACAACTATATATATATATACACACACACACAAACAAAGTAAGTTTTATATGAAAGTTTATTGCATTTTTTTCATTCGTTTTTGTTTTGTCTCCTTGTGTAACACGAGTTACTACACATTTCCTCTTTTTCTTTTTCTTCTTCTTCTTCTTCTTCTTCTTCTTGTTCTTCCCTCTTTGAATCAATCCTCAATTCCAAGTGTACCTGTCTGCCTGTCTGTCTATCTATCAGTTTGTCTTTCTCTCTTACTCATTGTTACTATGCATATAGTTTATTTAAGGGATATATTATTCATCTGAAAAATGTGTACAATCTTATTCTTATTCTTTTATTATCAATTATTTTTTAGAATATAATTCGCTATTGCGTAACACTATTACGTAATACCACTATTACTTAATAGTAATAATATTGAATTCTATATTGGGAATATATATATATTATTTAGGTATAAGCTCCCCCTCTCTCTGAGTTTGTTTTTGTCCTATCTGTTTCTATCTATCTATATGTGTATATGTATATGTATTGTAGGTAATTTTCTCAATTATTGATTTATTGTGAACTTTGTTCTCATTAAGCACTTTATATTAATTTATGAACCAAAAAGAAAAAAAAGAACGAAAAGAAAAACAAGCCAGCAACCAATTATTAGTAATTTTATATTAATATAAAAATAGGTATTATTCAATTCTTTTCTTTTAGGTGAATTTTTCTTTCTTTTGTACTTTGACAATAATTAAATGTTGATTACGTAATCATTGTTGTTGTTGTTGTTGTTACCAGTGATAATAATAATAATAATAATTATTATTATTATTATGATTGTTACTACCGTGAATTTGTTAATTGTTTCATCAAAAGAATGATAATGAATTTTTGTGAACATTTTTCTATGTTTTCTCTTTATTTATTTATTTGAACACATAAATATTGATACAGAGGAGCATCGAATACATATACTCTCCGGGTGCCTCAACCGAAATATGTGGTTTTCTTAGTGGGCCACACCTGAACCCTTTGAATTCAAAGTCTAATCCACAAGGTAGTGAAGCAATGTAAAGAGATGTAATTTCATAGTAGCCGATGATCAACAATTGGTTCATACACTATTTGTTCCTTCAGGATACTGGAGTCCATGTTCACCAATGGTGTGGAATTAGGGTTTTTTTTACTCCTCAATGTCGACCGTCCGTATCCACTAACCCAGTTAAAACACCGAACATTCGATTTTAGTGCTCTCAATTTCGTAAACAATACTCAACATGCGAAAAGGAAGTGAGTGGGATTGGTTGTATACACGTGATTATGTAAGTGCATTTCGAGAGGGATGTCTGATTCACACGATTTTCGACTGTATCTGGGCACTTGTGGGCTGTTATTGACGAATCATGAATGAGACTGAACTACTTCATTTAATGACACGCAAAACCAGATCATAAAATGAATAACATTATTTACTATATTTAGTTGTGTAAGTTGATCATCTAGTAGTAGAATGGTGCATTAGGATGATGTACCCGTTGGAAGTAAACTTCTTAATCTGTTTTGCAATATTTAAAGCAGTCGTAATCAATGAAAAGCAAGAGAGCATTTGGAGATGGAGTGTGGACTCTTCTCACCTTCGACCGTACCAGGACATTTGAAGCTTCTATCTTTGTATTTCACAAAATTGGTATCTTTTTTATATTTGGAAAAATACTCATGTATTAGAGATAGCCAGTACTTTTGATCTACTGGTATAGATTGTGCACATTATCTTCAAAATAATCGAATTGTTTAGATCAATATCATTAGTAGAGTATTACTGTCGAAGTTTAGATTTTTACTTGTCACTACAAATGTTCTACATGTGAGATTGTGATCAAATGGATAGAACTTTGTAGTATAGGATAAATTGTTTGATAATAAATCGACTGGACAATCCTGACTTTAATGTTGTTGCTGTTGGAAATCCTCTTCAGGACGCATACATTTTTATCACCGAAATCAATATCTATGTGGAACGTATTCTTTGGCTCTGAGTTTATTGATGATTATGGATTTGTAAGTTTTATAATGGTGTCAAATATCTCGATGAATGCCTATTCTTGATCAATATTTTTCCAAAAAGGTTTAATTCTTTGCCTGTATGACATTAGGACTTTTAATCTATTGAATTCATTTGTCAAGAGAGGTTTCAGTAAATTCAGTTTTCCGCCAATAAGGATCCACGTGCAGAAGTTTTAGATTGATTAAATAGAACCAATTATTTACGTTTCATATGGCTTATTCATTAAGATACCCATTTATTATATAACACTACAAGTCTCTATCAATCAAAACTTTATCTCAACTTATTACCAAGAATGTAATTTACAACAGTCTACGGATTAGGAAGAAAATGACAAATGTTTTAACATTCTAATTCATTAGGGTATCTTATGGAGTCAAATATGTAAATGGCGTTGTATGGTTCGATCGTCCATCTCAATGCTGATACACAAAGCTTTCTAAATGTTTGTCCCCAAACTAGCTACTATATTAAGGAAACCATGGTCGTGCGCTTATCAGTTTATTAATATTTGATTGACTCACCGCATCAAGTGAATGCTGTTATCTCATCAATAAGAAGGATTTAAATCATTTAAAAAGTATCAGGGAATGGCTTGTGGATAATATAATAATTTTTAATAGTTGAGATCATGAGTCAACTGAACCTAGATCGTAGATGGCCATTGCTCAGGAGTCCCATAATATGATGAAACAACCGTCCAGTGCTTCCAGGTTTTCCATGGTGGTCTAGATTCAATTGACTCAAATATTCAAAATTTAGGAAGTAGATCCAATCTCTCTCGGATGATATCATGGAAAATGACATCGCAATACTATCCTTTCTTGACAAAAGTTACACTTGGAAATGATGCAAAACTCTCATTTGATCTCTACTAACTAGCATCACAATATACGTGTAGTTTGATAAGCATGATGATTTCATCAAATTGTCACGTGAAAAGTGATAACAATCCTACTCCATTTCGTTTGAAATTCACAGAACACAGATCTATATATCAGAGCACTGAAATCAGTCAGAGTAATTGTGAGGTGTGCTGAATTTGGGAAAGTTCTTTAAATTCAATTGTATAGTTGGATGTAGGTACCGGTTGTTTAGCAACAAATGAGTATAGAGTTTTGCCTAAATCATAGAATTTTCATGGTGTTTAATGAGGAACTGATTTTGGACCACTGTCGAAAGTCAAGAAGCACTAGACAGTTAAAAATTTTAATATAAGGACCTCCGGTTGTTCAGATCCACACGATGACACGGGGAATCGTTTAGTGTATTTTACCATGAATCGATTTCGGTATGCTGCTTAGATATTTCGATAGGATGTTTGTAGAGATACTATATTTGATTCGATGTTGCATCACTAAATGATTTTAGTGAGAATCAGAAGTGTGATGGGATACCACAAATGTAAATATTGGTCAAACATTTTCTTTCAAAGTTGACGAGATCAGAATGATTTTCATCATATCAGTCAACCATTGGATTGGAATTCGCGATTGTTTTTTCTTTAGCACATCTGTATTCAAAAGATTGGAGAATATCTTCTTGAAGTAGACTGATTATCATTCTCTGTATATCTATTCAGTTATTTATAATTGCCGAGATCCATGATTTGAGTGGTGAACATAATATACACTGTGTTGTGTGCTACTTATATCAACATAAGTAGTATATAACACAAGTGAGGAATAGAATGTCTGGGAGCAGAAAGTTGAGAAGATCAAGGAGTTAAGAGAGGAACAAAAATCAGGAACAATGAAGTCTGAGACAATTGATTGACATTTTGCAAATGTAGTGTTTACTGTATGGTTGTCAGATTTGACCAAGACTTTCTGTAATTGTGTATTCAAACATTTGTGTTCTCGTTCACTACATTATTTCTTGTGTAGTCTAGTGAATGTGAAGATGAATAGAGTAACAGACATCTAAGGCTTGTGAAATGGAGTGAACACTTTTCGTATCTAGTGACAAAACTATTCAAATAAAAATTAACAAACACTGATGTTTGCGCTTTCTGTATCATTCTGATTATAATTTATTGTTACCTTATAAATGAACGTTGATCAGATATATGAGTATGAATCAATGTGATCAATTCAAACCTGATCAAACTTCAATAGATAATATAAATAAACAAGATATTCATTATAAATCTATCTAATGACTGAGGGTATTTTAGATCCAACTTAGAAATTGAAATCAGTTCGTTTAACGTCGTCGTTACAGGTAAGCTACAGTCATCAGTATCATTAATGTATGGATTGTTTGTCCTTAGTGTTTTATTCCACTAATTCCAATGCTATACATATTCAAATATGAAGTATGAAGTTTCTTTCCAAATCATAG